GAAGTTTTTTTTGGTTTGGGGAATGAGATGAATTGGTAAATCTAGAAAACCCTTATAGAAGAGTTTTAATACGATCTCTCCTCTTATGATCCACTTCTGTAGCTCTGGGCTTTTTGGGTTCCACCCCTCCCAAGTCTTCACTGTATGTCCTCTAATTGCTCGATTTCCTCATGTGTAGGTTGGATGCATGGAATCCCCAGCTTGGATTGGATACACCAGTCTGACTCTCCCCCCCCAAAAAAACCCTCCCCAGGCAGTTTGAATCCATCTCCTCTCCTGGACTGAAGGACTTCAGTGCGGACCACACTGTTTGCCAGGTGACCTCCTTGGTGCACCAGCCCCTCCTGAGCTCAAGCTCTTCCTGGCAGAGGCCCAGCCTCTGACCCCCGAGGCTCCTCTTCCTTTTGATACAACCCCTCCTTGATTGCATCCAACTCCTACGTCACTGAGTTAAGGCCCCTCCTCCAAGAGCTCAGGCCCCTCCTCCTTGAGCTCAGACTCCTCCCCTGGGGCTCAGACCCCTCCCCCTGAGCTCAGACTTCTCCCCCTGGGGCTCGGACCCCTCCCCCTGAGCTCAGACTCCTCCCCCTGGGGCTCAGACCCCTCCCCCTGAGCTCAGACTCCTCCCCCTGGGGCTTGGACCCCTCCCCTTGAGCTCAGAGTCCTCCCACTGGGGCTCAGGCCCCTCCTCCCGGAACTCAGAACCCCTCCTCCTGGGGCTCAGGCCCCTCCTCCCCTTGAGCTCAGACTCCTCCCCTGGGGATCAGGCCCCTCCTCCCCTTCAGCTCAGACTCCTCCCCCTGGGACTCAGGCCCCTCCTCCCGGAACTCAGACCCCCCCCCCTTCCCCCTGGGGCTCAGACCCCTCTTCCCGGAACTCAGACACCCTCCTCCTGGGGCTCAGGCCCCTCCTCCCCCTGAACTCAGACTCCTCCCCCTGGGGCTCGGACCCCTCCCCCTGAGCTCAGACTCCTCCCCCTGGGGCTCAGGCCCCTCCTCCCGGACCTCAGACCCCTCCCCCCTGGGGCTCAGGCCCCTCCTCCCTGGGGGAATTCCACGTGACCTCGCCCCACCAACGGCTTCTCCGTTACTTAGCAACGGCGTTAACAACAGGCCCAGCGGAGGGAGGCCTGGGCCCGAGAGAGAGAGAGAGAGAGAGGGAGCGCGGCTCCTTCCCTCCCTCCCTCCCTCGGCCCCGAGAGGAAAATGGAGCCCTAAGTCTGCGCTGAGGCGGAAGCGGAGGGGGACCGTGAGCTGCGCTGAGCCGTTCTCCCCGTGTGAAGGTGAGAAGCTCCGGGGGCGTTTGCTGCTGGAGGTTGTGACCCGCTGCTGCCCCCCCCCCTCCCCTCCCCGAGAGCAGCTCCCGAGGCTGATTGACTGCGTAAGGTACAAAGTATCCAACATTTCAAAATAATGCAGGACATTGAACCCCCCCCTCCCTCCCCGCCCCCCACCCCCCCCTCGGCTCGTTGCTTTCTGTGACATTTCCTCACCGTTGTTCACTGTAAATAAAATAATAATAACAACAACAAATAATAATGATCATGGTATTTTATATTACACCTTCTGGTGTCATTGAAGTGCCTCAAAGTGTTCTATCTTCCTTACCCGGGGTTGGGGTGGGGTTGGGGTGGGGTGGGGTTGGGGTGGGGGTGGGGGGGGAGGAAGGTAAATATCGGGGTCTCATTGGCGCTGCACTGGCGTCCAGGTGACATGTTTGGCAACGGAATATCGGAGTGGAGTCGGCCCTCTGTGGCGGTTTCGCTCGTCCGGCTCCTGAGCCAGGCGGGTCCACGGTATTCCAGGGCACTGATGATGGCAGCACAGCCAGTCTGGCTCATTGGCAAGACTTGGGAGGGCAGACCAGTCACTGGGAGGCAGGGAATCCATCCCACTCAGCTCCCGTTCCGATCGTGCTTTCGATCTCCCTGCTTCCCCCCCACAACCGTCCGTCCGTTCTCCCCCCTCCCCCCACCCCCACCCCACCCCACCCCCCCAGCTCGGGTCCGTAACTTTGCCTGTCCAGCGCCTTGGGACGTCCTCCCGACGTGAAAGGTGCTCTACAAGTGTAATTTCGTTGTTGTTGTTGTTAACCCTGCAAGCCAAAGCACGAACCGGCAGGGTGGTCCGAGCTGTTGAAGCAGCAGCGGGAAAGCTTGCCAGACAGAAAGTGCTACACAGTATATTTACTGTCAATATGTGCCTATGTTGTGACTGTGTATTGGTAGGAGAAGGAGGAGCTCACTCATAATCATGGCCAATATTTTACCCTCCCTACAAATTCTTGGAAAACATTGAATATGGTCATTCACCAGATTGCTATTTGTGGGATGTTATTGGCACTTTAGAAAGAATAGTCACCACACTTCAAAAATTTTGTTTTGTGCTGCGCTTTGTCATACTTCATCTTGGTAAGGCACCACAGCAAAGATTTTTTAAATCCCAAAGTATTAATTTATCACCAAATTAAGACACACTTCTAGATCTAGATGATGTCCAGTCTATGGAAGCTCTAGGCATTACAATTATGCCATCCAGATGTACTCAGTATGTAGGCTGAGCAAAATGAGGCTTTTGAAAATTATGGATGCATTACAGTATAAAACAGTGAGCTGATTAAAAAGCCACACCCAGTAGTGAAAGCAANTTTTTGTTTAAACTCCCTCAGCTGCTCTGTCTTCCAGTGTCTATTGGATAAACCCATTTTGAAAACTAGTGAGTAAGTCCCAGGAATCAGCAATTTGCAGAAGTAGTTTGAGTGCTTTATTGTGACACTTCAGATTTGTATTACCCTCACAGAATTATGTTGAGTGATTGTTGAATTAATCTTCTTGGTACGGGTTTTATTTTTCAATGTCGGTATGATGTAAAATTCCTGGTCATCCAAGATCTTCCTATGAGCTAAAGGAAGCACATTGCAATTCCCATAACAGACCTACTATCCTTATGTTCTGCTGACTATCCATGACCATATGCTTCTTCATAGGGTTGGAGGGAAAATAATAATAGTAATAATGAGCATTTCAAAGGAGATTTATCTTGAACTTTATCATATTTGGCTGACATTTGGGACATTTCACAGGGAGTCTTAAAGTGACCGAGGGAGAAAGCGTCACCTAAATTAACATCTTCTCATGAATAGTGTTTATGTGAATCACCTATTGCTTCCACATGAAGCAGATAGTTGTAAATTGATGAAGTTAATTAAGAACAAAACATTTATTTTTTGAGGTTCACTAAAGTTTCATCCAATAAAAATATACAGTATTTCTGTAACATGTTTCCCTTTTAATCTAGAAAACCTTCTTTGAGGGTTAGTTAGTCCGAGTAGACATCAAGGTACTATCAAGGTACTAGTAATTGGATCCAGTTGATGAGCTAGCATCAGATTAGTCTCACAGGAACAAATGGCTCTCTATGCTGTATTCTATGATTCTTAAGAAATGGGAAAATGTGCAATCTGAAGGGAATTATGGAATTATGAGCAGATGATGAATGGGGGTTAACTGGAATTTTCAAGTGTGATTCCATTAAGAAATATCACAAATAACTTGAGTTACAATAGTGTATTGTAGTGTACAATATCTCATTCGGAATTCTGCTGCCCGAATACTGACCCAGATCAATCTCCGTACCCACATCTCACCAGTTCTGGCGAGGTTCCACTGCCTCCCCATCACTGAACGGATCGACTTCAAGATCCTCACTATCATGTTCAAATGCATTCATTCCCTGGCACCTCCTGACCTCTTCACTCCTCAATCCACCACCCAACACCTCCGCTCGACTGGTCCCAGCTTCCTGTTCGCCCCTTGTGCCCTCCGCCCCACCATTGGGGGTCGCGCTTTCAGACACTATGCCCCAAAACTTTGGAACACTCACCCTCAATCCCTCCACCTGGCCCCTTCTCTCCCCCTTTTTTAAGTCCCCGTCTTCCTGTCTGCAGTTTGGGCACACACCCCTTCCCATTGAGTGATGGTTCCACCAATTGGAGATGCAGAGTTCTCTGCAGGCCAATCAAGGTGGATTCCGGCGCTGGATCTACGAACGCGTGGTCACAAACTCGGACTCCAGGTAACACCTTCCAGGTGCTGTTGCACCAAGCCTCAGAGATTCCTCATCAGCTATCTGGCGGGTGTCTGCCTTCCTTGTAGTGGGCGGATCTTTACAGGATAATTTGTGATGTACTAGCCACCTATGGGCAAAATCACCAGTGAATTGATCTGTTTAGAACCATGGAGGTCACCATGTATTGGGTCATAACTTTCAAGGTGGATATCAGGAGTTTGCAATTGACAAATTACAAAGACCTTCAGGGACATGAACATAAAGGATTATAAAGTCACTGGCTGTAAAATCTGGTTCTGCCATTGTGGAGCAGAGTTTCAAAAATATTAAAGTTCCTGCAGAACCAACATTATTTGAGACTTACCTTAGTGGTCTCACAATGTTTCTCCAAATCAGGTTTATATTACAACTATAATTTTTATACAAAGCTTGTGTTGATTGGATGTGAAAATAGTATTCAATTGGGAAAAACTATATGTTTAGTATAATTAGACCGTTAAGATACAGGAATTACTTTTTTTCTATTAGTTTGCTAAGATTATTCGTGTAGGGGGACTCTCACCGTCCGTATAGGTACTGCTGCTGATAGCAGGTGTCTCTGAATCACTATGAAATATTCTGATGTTGTAACAAATGCAAGGATCATTAGTATTATTTTGCAAAATGAGGAATGTTACAGTTAAAGCGAATGACAAAATAATCAGTGTTTGTATCTTGCTCATGTTTAAAGATGCTGTAATATGATTATTTCAATACTATATCTTACAGAGTGCATATGTGAACTTCTGAAATGTCTGAGGAACAGAAGGATTTAGTTTCTCCTGACTCTGAGAAAGTACAAGAGCTGGATACTTCACATCAAGATTCACAATCAGACTCTGCTCTTTACAGACAGTTATTTGTTACTGTGACATCAGTAGCAGAAAGTCCAGAAGAACCAATTGATCAGATGAATGACAATGCTCTTCCAATATCTCACGACTCTCAAATGAGCCATAAAGGCAATTATAATTCAGAGAATGCTGATATTGCCTTGACTGAAAAAGCAAATGCAATTCCTTTACAATTGTTTAAGAAGAGACTAAAAACTAGTGCAGCAGAAGACACACAAGGTGTTATCGTAGATCCTGATAAAGCTAATAAGGGCTTAGGTGCCAACTGGGATAAGAATATTATTTCGAAAAATCTTTTAGAAGGTTCAACTGAATCCAAGACTGACTTAAAGCCAGCAATAGCAGCAGTGGCTGGTACTATTTCAGGTGTAACTATGTCAAAGAGGCCAAAACCACCACACAAACCTAAATCTGGTAAATTGAAATCTGGATCATATCGTCCTCATGTTATTTCTCATGCAAAGAAGAGTAAAGGTCATGACAAAATGGAAAAAATTAAGTCAGCAGGTAGCGATAAAAAAAGATCCCTGGTTATTGATAAAAGCAAGCAGCACTTGAAAACATTGTCGTCAAAAGCCACAAAGAGAAGGCTTAAAAAAGATGCTCTGACTCTGTCAAAAACCTTCAAAGATGATTCGCAAAAAGTGCTGGATGAGAATAAATACACATTACTGCCAGATGGAACAAAAATATATGACAAAAATATATCAGTGTTTGGAAGTCAGCAATCAGTACAAGCTAGTGCAAAATCTGTTGATGAAATCATTGCTTCACTGCGGGCTGCAAGCCATACCACCACCCAGTCTGTTTCAGAACAGAAGATCAAAGGAGTCATGGTGAAAGTGTTTGGTTACAGTTTCAGCAGTAAAACTGAGGTAGGTGAACCAGAACAAGTGATATTTTCTACTTATTGAACGTGGAATGTAACGAAAGATGTAGTTTTCCAAAATTACAGCAGTTTGTTATTATAAACTACCAGACAAAGCAAACAAGAACACGTTTGAGTTTAATGGCTTTGAAACACTGAAGTGAACCTGCAATTCCTTTTTACTGTATGTGGTCCATTAAACTTGTTATGTGGTCACATTATATTCTATATTACTGAATGCACAAATATAAAACAACATTAACATTTAAGGAAGAGTATAATTGCTTTCTGAAATAATGACATACATTGTTGTAGAGCTATTTTGTTACCACACAAAATCAAATGAAAACTGTTGAAGGATATACAGTCATATATACCTTAAATTCAGTAACATTTCTAGATTAAAACAAATATATGATTTTGCATGATATGAATTATAATGTGAACATGCATGGGAATTTCTGCTTCAATTTTCTATTTAAATCCACTGCTAGCTTTTGCACGGCTATACCTTTTGTGTGATATTTAAGTCCAGGCAGGATGATTTAATCTATACCCTTGATTTAGGTCTATCTCTATAAATATTTGCTAATGCCGTAAGTTCAATGTGGCTGGATGGAGAATCAAGGTTATAAGTTTAACGTCAGGGAAACGATAGGAAATCGACTCCCTATTGTTAGTACTAGTGAACAGATAGATGATGCTATTTTACAAAGGTTAAAACTGTTACAGTAGTAATGACAGATAGACCAAACAGCAGTTTATATGTAAAGTATATAATTGTACCTAATTATAATATTTGTGTACATCCATGTAAAATTCGCACTACTCATGAGTGACAAGTTGCAAATGCTTCCCAGCCACTGAAGCACGAGAAGCAAATGAAATCACTAACGTGTCATTTCAACTACAATTATAACTTGCACTTGTATATCATTTCTCACATAATTAAACATCTCAAAGTGAGTATTTTTTGAGTATATTTCAGGCAAGACAGACTACTTGGCCAAATATGCTGAAGTTATTTTTTGTCAGAAAAAAGGAATTAAACATGTGAGGGTTTTGGCTTATTAATTTTATTATTAAGTCCTAATTACTTAAACTTGAGAAATTGTTCAAGAAAAATGTGAGGAATGATATTTTGGTATCACAAATCACAGTCACTCTGCTTTATCCTATGAAACGCTTTGGGACATCTTCCTGACGTGAAATACCTTTTACTAAATGTAAGTATTATTTGTTATTACTGGTTTAACTATCAAACAATAATAGGAGTCCTGTAGCTCAGTGATGAGAACACTCGCCTTGCAAGTGAAAGACATGGGTTCAATTCCTGGCAGGTTTCCTTACTCCACATGCCTGATAATAATTCCTCAAGAAGAATAAATAATTTGGTCACTGAATCCACAATTGTTTGTGGGACACTACTCTGCGCAATTGTCTGCCGCGTTTCATCCACAAATATACAGTAAATTCACTTTACATTATATTCTGTGAAGCGCTTTGAGAAGTCTAGAAGACGTGAAAAGCGCTATATCAAATGCAAGGATTATTATTATCAAAATAATTACTGAAATGGGTTTTGAGTTAAAAAGAAAAATATATCAGGATAAGGTGAAGACAAGGGTTAAAATCCATCACATATTTGTTTTACACACCGTGGCACTGTGCTCATATCAGTAACCGTGAATTTTGAAGTTCTAAAAAAGATTTAATTTTTAGATAGTGGAAATGAGGAGAAGAACAAAGTGGTAGTTCATGCGTTTATGCAACCAAAAGTATTCCTATCGCCCTGATTTACATTCATGGTCTTTGCTCAGGTTGGGTTCAGATGTCAATTATGCTTAAGGCAAATGGGTTGATAAAATAATCAGGCACAATTCTTGGAAAGCTCTTGGACAAAAAATCAATTTTCTCCAAAACAAAAATGAGTGTGTATAGAATATGTTTTGCACAAACGTTGCAGTGTGGTGGCTTGTTTTTTATTTAACTGTGTACACTTGGAAACATTTTCAAGTGAAAGGCATGGAGTTACTCCAATAAGTAGTGGTAATGATGGAACTTTGATTCTTGCTGCTTTAATGCCTAAATACTGTGTAAGTAAGTTACAGCCTGCTTTTACTTGTAGAGCTACTTTTCAAGTTCTCGAATGATCCTATATAAGTTTACTGACACACCCTACAAACCCACGTGGAAGAGGAGCCCATTTGTTTGGCAAGGTCATTGAAAGTTAAGTGAATTATGTTATCAGCCACATACCAGATTTCTCGCTCTCCTCCCCTCTAGACTGTAGGCTGGAGAAATCAGAATTCCTCACAGTGTTTTATTGTACACATCTTACCCATGATTACTGTTATGTTACTTCCTTATGCAAGATTTTGGTGCATTATTTTTAACATCTTTTTATGTAAAATGTGTTGTTTTCTATTCCTTAGAAAATAAGTATCCAAGTGTGTATGTGTTACAAGTTAACAGGATTGTACTGCCATCCTTTGGTTGAGAGAGGCATTGTGATTTAATATTCTTGAATTTCCCCCCCAAAAGTGCAGTAATTACAGTATATAACTGTTGTCCAAGTCACTGTTATTCAGTGTGGAAGTCCAAAACACTAAGCTATAAATTGGGCTCAAGCTTTCTTCTTTATTTTTCTGAGAACTGCTACTGAAACAGAAGCCACTTCCAGATTACTAGACTTTCATGCACTGATCCCACACTTCACTTTATTTTTACTTGAATATTGGTAGTACGGCAGCCACAACAATTGTAGATGATGTCATCAACTACTTCAATTGTTTTAGTTGTTATATTTCATTACCTGTTCAATTTACACAAGCCAAAATTATACACAATTACGTCTGAACACAATTGAAGCCTGAATCATTGTCATAGATGAACATGTGCAATATATGTGATTTAATTTGCTTAAGAAAATTTTTATGGCACAATTTTGTTCAGTGCAAACAAAATCAGACACAAAGTAAATAGTAATTCTAGATTACAAACTGCTTAGGCTTTGTTATCATTGTGAATTGCAATATATATGCTTCAATGTCTGTATATTATCCACGAGCCTTACAAATATGTGTTAGAACTTCTCTAAGACTGTTCAGTGAATTGATAACATTCAAATGAAATGTGTAAAAGTGGTGGCATTTCCAAAGATTGTTGAAATCATCCACCACATTGGTCATACAACAGCTTTAATTTATCAGAAGAGTGTTATCACATTTAATGTAAAATTGTGCATTTAATATTGTGCAAGTTTGAATTTTGTCATTTGTATTTTATACAGATAATGCACAGTTAAGAGATTCCATCATCATTGTTGTAAAACAACCCTGTTTAGAAGCTATTTTTTGCATACAGGGGGCAGCAAACAGATCATCAAGTTACCTGTGGTGAATTAATTTGTACATTAAGTTTGCAAAGGATTATTCTTTTTTTAAACATATGGCAAGAATTTGATTGCCTGATAGAATTAGTGCATATTCTGGGAATTTACTGCAGAAAGCAGGTAAACTTCTTATTGATAACAATGAGTTAATTATTTAATTATTTTTAAGTGTAGTGGAAAAAAAACTATTCCAGTTACAGAACTCTTATCACTTGTCCAAGGGTCATCTTGCATAGAGCTGGAATCTAATGATAAAAGGAAATGTGTCAAGGTCATACCTAACCCTTTTATTGTCTCTTCAGTAGCAACACAACTTTTATTATACATCAGCATTTTCATATTTGGCAAAGGTTGAAAGACATACAGAAGTGAGAGTGCTACCACCGAGCCAGGCTGACACAATAGGCAACACTCTACAAATCTACTATAATTCAGAAGATATTTGATAAAGTTCCTTTTATCAGAAGATATTTGATAAAGTTCCTTTTATCAGAAGATATTTGATAAGTTGTAAGACTTTTACAGAATATATTAAAGCTCATACATTTATGACATAGCAAGCTTGACAACAGGAAGCAGTAGATGATAAGTTTGAAGTTCTGTGTGTATCTGAATTCCTGTAGTTAGCAGAGATGATGCAAACAGACTGTTTGACTTAGATCAAAAGCACATAGCTACAGAACATAGATTTACAATTAACAGGCCTCAAACAGGTCACGAGATTAGAAGGAATTTGTTCCCTCACAGAGGAGCAGATATCTTTCAAAAAACACAACTGATGCAATGTTGATTAATGCAATACAGTATATATGTACATATATTTATTAAAAAAACTACAAACATATTTAGTTGAAAATAGGATTGGATATTATACATGAAGGTTAAGAGTGAGATGAACAAATATTGTTTCCGTGTTGCCAGGGCCTTGGAGCAGGACAGTATTCAGTAATAGAAATGTGGAGATAAATGACTGTTCTGGGGTTTTGCTTGATTTCCTTTGGGAGCAGAGCAGACTGTATCTATGCCAGAGTACAGCTTCCATATCATGGTGGTGGGGAGAACAAAAGTCAGCAGTTAGACTGTTGAAGAAGAATAATAAAATAACTGAGAACCTCATAATAATCAAAACCATCTTGAGCCTCTCTCTTTACAGAAATGTGTCTAGTTTTAAGCTATTTTATCTTTGGTGCAGTTTTGTTTTACATTGTTGTGCAAACCAAGTTAATATTGAATGAACATTTTTCAATAAACCTACAAGCAGAAGAAAAAGCAGAAACTCTGCTATGCTACTGATAATTTTCTTTGGTCTTATACTCAGAGATTTGTATAAAGTACAGTATTCTTTCAAATTGGTAGGATGGCGCAAGGCTTTACATGTGAAAGGCGCTATACAAATGTCATTTGTTGTTGTTGTTGTATACTGTAAGATATAATAACTGTGTAAGTTTGTAGTCGGACACATTGAACTATCTCTGATAGGTGATGTCTGTTACTTTATTTTAGTATGACCTTTCATCACAGACATGAGATTTCAGTTTTAAAAACAAACATTGGTATTCATTGATTTCAAAAGCAGCAGTGCATTTATTATAGAATTTTTGGAATTGTTCATAGGAACACTTCTGTGCTCTAATGTTCAACAGTTCCAGGCTACAATTGCAGTAGATGTATACATATTGAATTCACGTTAAAATAATAGGCAATAATTTTTGCATATTTTGAAGGAGGAAGGTTCAAAATTCCAAACTATACCAGAAGTGGAGGCTGGTCCATCCCTCCAAGCCACAAAGCAAATGTTGCCGCAGGATACTCAGCAGGTAATTACACAGCAGATTTTTAATAAAATTACAGTTTTAGTGCCTTTGTACAGAACTAACACAGTTTTGAATAGCTAGGATCCATTTAAAGTTAACATTGTTATTCAACTGCAACTCTCTTGATGGTACAGTGGGGAAACATACTAATGCGGTATTAAGCCAAGCAATACAAGAAGATCCCCAATCATCAAATTAACTGTCAACATTGACTGTGGTTCTGATATTTGAACTCCAGGTTTCATACGCCAATAATTATATTCAAAAGGGGGCAATTGTACAACAATTGATGCATAATGATGCACGTCCATGTAATTATTGAAAAAGTGATTCCCTGTGATTCCTCATGTAATAGTTTACAGTCTCAGTCATACTGAGAGGCGCTGAGGAGAAGTATAGTCACTTTCCTAGAGGAAAGGAAGGATAATAAAAGTATTATGTGGAATATTTTGATCGTAAGAAAGTAAAGAGCACAAATGGAAACGTTTGCTGGTACTTAATTCCTGTCCTGAATTTGGAAAAGCCTGTCACAGAAGGACTAAAAAAAAGACAATAGTTTGGACGCAAGGTGGGAAAATCAATAATTATTGCACCAGATACAATTAAATCATAGATCCCTAAAAGAGAGTACTTGGTTTAAAATGGGACACATGATTGTTTAAATCCTTGTCATAAAGGATTATACTGGATATTAAGATAATAATTCAAAATGAATAATTGTTTTGATCTGTCCAAAGTCTGTCACAGAAACTGCCCCCTCAAAGATAGAGAAGGAAGAGACCACAGAAGACTTGGGGATGGAAACAGGTTTCGTCCCTCTCGAGCCCCTATTAAAGGTTCCATCAGTACCTGCAGCTCCTGTGTCGATGGCATTCTTTAAACAAGATATTTCTAAGGTCACAGATGATTTGGAACCTATTATGGACAAAGAAGAAATACAAAGGATTCTTAAATTACCTAAAAAGGTAGGTTTATAAACCTTTCACAGCATTCCATAAATCATTTGGTCTGTTTTTTTTATTCAGTGCTGTCTTCTGGATTAAATGTTATTTTTACATTATTTTTGTACTCATTAAAAAATCTTTTTCTAAGTGTATTTAACATGGTAAATGATTTGTAAGTTGATTCTTAACCCATTCTTATATATATGGAATTGAAACTAGTTTTTTATATTATCTGCATATTATCCTATTTCTAGATAACTAATAGGTTAGACATTTTGACAACTGTTCAGTTTTGCATTGGTTGAAAGACCTGGCAAGATTGAATTTTTCACTAAACACACTATACACACCTTCCATCAAGGATCTCTGGATAATTTGTTATATTACGGGCATTGGTAATAACTATGTTCTTTTCAGGCTGGAAATCACTTCCATGACCTTTCTGTTCAAGATTAATGATGCTGAAAAAGTACAATGGAATCTTGATTATCTGCACTAACAGAGGGGAACTTATGATAATTGAAAATGGCAGATAATCAAGATTTCACTGTTGTCTGCTAAGAGCTTTTTCTTGGAATAAAAGCCTTAAAATCATTTGATGATCAGGATTTGCAGCAAGATAACTAAGAGGGTTGGTTATCTGATTTCAGGGTAATTGTGATATTTAAAACGTTTCCAGGTGTTTATACTTTAATGTTTTAAAAAAGGCTCACAGGACAGGTCATTTTTAACCACACAAGGAGATTTCTGCTTAATTCTGGTTACAGAAGGGACCGTACTAATAATAAATAATAATCCTTGCATTTGATATAGAGTCTTACCACGTCTTTGAGATGTCTCAAAGTGTACCGCTCAGTTTTGTCTATTTGTATAGCTTTCAGGGCAGGTAAAGATCTCATATGGTTCCTACAGTATAACTGCACTAAGAAATTGTACATCCACAGGTCAGTATTGTTCATTAGTGACTAAGGTTAACCTAATTGTGCTTTCTTACTTGTATAAGACAATAGACGTATCAAAGAACTGTTGTAATTGATTATCATTATTGGTATGTACATCTTGTTTATTTCTAGGTTACTTATTCTGACATAATTCATGTGAAAGGAGTTGGAGTACGAACACATAAGAGGGTTGAAGAAGACTGGGAAAAGCAACCTGAAATTGATAAATATCCTCAGGAACAAGCTTCTACTCTGGCCATATGGACCCCAAAGTAAAATGACTTGTGCAGTTTTTATTTGTTGTGCTTCACGTATTCTGACATATAATAATAATCCTTGCATTTGATATAGTGCCTCATCATGTCTTCGAGACATCTCAAAGCGCTTCACAGGATATTCAGCAGTGTCCCACATACAGTCATGGATTGAGTTTGTAAATGGCCTGTGAAGCTTATGAAAAAAAATGTTTAGGCTGTTGGACCCCTTGTGAGTGTTATGCTATGCCAGTCATGAAAAGCTTTTAGTTTTGTGTAGCTTAGTATTTCTTTCCAGTGTGTACACTTGAAGGAAATCCATTTCATTGCAATTACTAATGACTTTTGTCATTATAACTCACAAGGTTTCCTCTTGTGTGCCTCAGTGTACTGATGCAAACTGTCATAATTACTCAGCCAGGTACTATTTAGGCTCCAATTGGTCTGGTGCCAGCCACTGTGGTTTAAGTGAAGTTTACCTGTTTTTACTTGTCCTCTTCAATAGTGCTTTTACAACCAGTAACAAGCTGCAATGACACACCTAGCCGCTTCCCTCCATCCTTTATTGAGCTTATAAACGCTTTAGTTATTAGCTTTCGTAACTGCCGAAGTCTCTGAAAGGTTTGCAGGACACGGAAGACAGCCTTTACATGGGATCACCTAATGGCTGGCACTCTCAATTAAGTAACTCAGGATTAACTGAATGGGAAGAATGTTATAAGTTTATCAATTGGCACTTCAACACATAACTTGCCCACTAACAGGATTTAAATTTAGAATGTATTAGAACAAATTAATAACAAGATGAATTGTTTAAACACTGCAAATTGTGAACATTGTGACCTAAAAGTTGCTGGTTATCATTAGGCTATCACTGCTGAATCTTCACATAGATTCAGACTGTTTTTACAGGCATTGTCGAACTATGGTCAAACTGGCCACACACATAGCGTTGCTTTTCTTTGTCTACAATATAAATGAATGATGAGTTGTCAGAGGTAAAAAGGTTTGCACTTGCCTGATCTAAATCGTCTTGTGCTAAAATGTCAAGTCTTTGTGGATTTACTTTGTGAAAGGACAATCGTAAAGAAAATGTGGGTTTGGTTTTAAAAAAATACTAGAATATTATTCTAGGATGTTGCATTACCCAAAGACCACCAAGACATGGGATAGCACTTATGAGTTAATGCATTTATCAAGAGCTACGTCTATCATCTGATAGGTGACCCCAGAAATAAAATATTCAACAGAAAATAATTTCTTCGTTTCATAAGCATTCCACTTAATCATTTGACTAACAATGTATGTGGAGTCCTGATGCCTATTGGTTAGAGCACTTGTTCCTACATGAAGTAGGAATCCGCTTTCCGGGGGTAATAATCCCATAAAATTAATAACAATTTGGTCACTCAATCCACGACTGTTTGTGAGAAACTGCTGTACGCAATTGGCTGCGGCATTTCGCCCCAAATATATATGGTCAATACGTTTTACAGTATATTCTGTAAAGTGTTTTAAGACGTTTCAACGATGTGTTAAGGCGCTATATCAAATGCAAGGATTATTATGGATTATTATTCAGTGCCTTGGGATGTCCTCCTGATGTGAAAGGTGCTATACAAATGTAATTGTTGTTGTTATTATCATATAACTAGAAAAGTTTTGATTGAGAGGGTTTTCAAGCAGCTGCATTATGTTTTACATTGATTGGATTGCGAATACCCATTGAAATAATAATAATAATCCTTGCATTTGATATAGCGCTTTTCACGTCTTCTAGACGTCTCAAAGCGCTTAACAGAATATGCTGTAAAGTGAATTGACTATATATTTGTGGGCGAAACGCAGCAGCCAATTGCGCACAGCAGTTGTTAAACTTTATGAATATTTTTACACGGGGTGAAATTTAGTTAAAATAAAATTACACAAAAGAAGGCAGCAGATATACTTATTTCTGCATTAAACATTTTAAATATCTGTTCTTCTCCCAATATCTTGAACCCATTCTAAGGATTAAAAAAGTTATGTTGTGAAATGTGTAACCATTTCTTTCTAATGAATATGCATTTCTTTCTAATTAATATGCATTTTTTTCCCCAGAGCTCAAGGATTAAAGACGATCCACCACCTGTGCACTGCTGTGCCCAGTCATGTATTGCCCATTGATTTGCAGCTGGCTTCAAGGCTATACCACACTCCAAACAGAGTAGGACATGGGAGCAGTAAACTTCCAGCGTCATTGCTAACAGAGAGCTGTTCAGAGGATGATGAGTTTTTTTCTGAGGAACAAAAGGAGAGAGCAAAGTAACCAGCAATTAATAATATCTCATTAAATATTATACCTTTTTGTGCAATTATTATTTTGTAACATTCATATCTACCTGGTCAATATCCAACTAATGTTTTAAATTATGTACTGTTGTTACATTTTACATTTTAATAGTTATAGGAACAAAATATCAGCAACATTAACCTTTAAAGTGTTATTGCACCAAAAAAAATTGCAGATTCCCTGGTTTGGCCATTTTTAAAAGTTTTACCATGCATCCTGTGTCTCTTAAACAGACCTCAGTGGTTATTGAAATGCAAGAGGAGCTTTGTTTTCTTTTATTGGAATTTCCCCTAGAGTGGTAAAATGAATACTTAAAAATGACCATTTTACCTCTTCTTCACTAACAATGGTAAAATGTAGCAAACTGTAATTTTTTGTTGTAAATTATGTAGCATTGTTATGTTTTAAATTTTAACAGTCATCTGTACAATTAATAGTTGTTATGGAATAGCAGGTTAGAAGTTGCTGATGTGGTGTCGCTGTGTAGGAATGTCTTTAATCCCAAGGTGAATTACCATATCAATGTTTAATTATCTACTCTTGTGGGTAGATATTATTAACGCAAATATAATTCGTATTAATGTACCATGGGTGTTTAATCAAGCTTTATTATTATAGTTAGTTGATTACTTCTTGTTTGAACACTGGCTAATATGATTATCTCAATTAATCCATTGACAACAAAGCACAATAGGCTAAATATTCCATCTGGGTCTAGACTGACACTATTTTATTAGCATTTTATAATTTGACCCATATATAGATGAGTATTATTGCAACCTGGGAAAAAGACTTGGTTGCAATTATAGATAATTGAACGCACCCTTCCTGGGCTCGCCCTCAGATTCACCAAACCAGTGCGCAATCTGGGCAATCAGTTCGACCCCCAGCTGTCCTTCCTTCCCCACATCCAGTCCCTGCCTAGGTGGACGCCTTCATCCACCCCTGCCAGATTGCCCGATTCCGATTGTACCTTACCCCAAATGCATACGTTTTCACCTCCAGCCTGGATTACTCAAACGCACTCCTAGCGGGTCTCCCTCGCTCCACTATTCAAAAAATCCAGCTTATTCAGAACTCTATTGCCCACATACTTACCTGGACCAAACTCCGTATCCCCATCTCACCAGTTCTTGCCAGGCTCCGCTGGCTCCCCATCACCGAATGGATCGACTTCAAGATCCTCACACTCATATTCAAATCCCTTCATTCCCTGGCACCTCTCTACCTCTCTGACCTCCTCGCTCCACAATCCACCACCTGGCGCCTCCGCTTGCCTGGCACCAGCCTCCTGCTTGTCGCTTGGGCCCTCCGCTCCACTATTGGAGGTCGCGCATTCAACAACTGGTCCCTGCCCACCACCCCCCACCTGCTCGGAGTCAGGCTGCACCACTGTTAAGTACTCCAAGACACTACCGTGCTTGGAGGTCGCTAGTTAAGTGCAAGTTGTTGTTGTTATATGCACTATGAACAATATTGAACTACATAGGAACATATGAGCTGTTACAGGACTGGAAGAAAACTTTGCATTCAATCTGACCAGTGCAACAAATCCACGCTATGTCTCTCATTTCTATATGTTTGCATTGGTAAAATAGAAACATTTGACTCCTTTTGTATTTTAGCTAAGCAGTTTTTTTTTCATGTTGCAGTTACAAGATTGTAATTGCTGATTTTCTAAATTCCAGACTTATTTACGAAGGAATTCCTTTATCAGAAATAATTGAGAAAAATGTAACCGATGGTATTAAATGTGCACCACCAACTTCACCAGAAAAATTGCTTAATTGGCAAAGAATGGCAGAATATTATGTGGAGAAACCAAAGATAATACTCTCTGGAAAGCAAGTAAGATGCAGAAGTTGAATTACTTTCTTAAGGAATATGGGGTAAAAATGTTATTCCAATAAATGCTGTTCTGACTTTGGCTGTTGCCAGAATTGGTGGGCAAGTTATAGAATTTTGTTGATAAACTTGCGGATGATCTATATGTTAAAAGGAATGAATAATTTATGATTCATTAAATATGGTATGTCATAAAAAAATTGCAAAATATAGGGGGAGAGGATTCTGATCTCGCATTGAGATTCATCTATGTTAAAAAGGATCTTGCAGTCCTTAGAATATCTGAATCGAATGAGATGTTTTAGTGCCTGATACACTCTATTAATCAGGGGAAGAACCTCAAATGCATTTTAAAATTATATGAGTAAGGCCTATGGAGTAAAATATGTAGGAGGAATATTTGTTTGAGAGGCTAAAGGAAATACAAATGCAAAACTTTACAAAAGATGGGTGGAAGGAATTTAATTATTGGAACAAAAACCTGGGCCTGTTTGCCTGTTCAGGTGGATGTTTAGGAACCCAGGACACTATTTGGNAAAAAAAGTTTCTCCCAGTGTCTGACCCAACAGTCCTCCAAATAAATTGGACATGGCTGTATTCACCTGCCTATAATCTACACAATCACTAATTTAATTTAATAGCAATTTCCTGTGAAGTACTTTGAAACCTTTTGATGTTACAGGTACCATACTAAATCCAAGTATACTGATATTAATTTATCCTTTTTTATTTACTTGGCACTCTACCTTTTTACTTGATTGAAGTGTTAAATTATTGGCTGTGTAGTCCCGATTGTTGCACACTTGAAAACGTAATGTTTTTTCTCTCAATTGGGGGTAAGATTTTGTAGTTTTAGAAAGATTACTAGATGCATTCAGTACTCCTAACCTTATAAAATTACCATTTTGCTTTTAATGAATGTTAGCAGTCTGCTTAAATGTAATTAAGCTATTTAGACTAAAGGAAGGATGAAATCGCCAACACTTTTGATAGCTGCTATACTGTTATCAGTTTTGTGTGAAAGCTGTTTTTCTGGATGAAGTATTGCATGATTTTTTTTGTTTCGACAGGCACACATCCACAAAGATGCAACAAAAATGTTTTGGACACCAGCATTTCCTAAATTTGCAGTGCCTCTTTCAAGCATTCAGGAGCTTCTATTCCCAAGCATAAAAGTAAGTTGGCGATTAAAAATAAAATTTGAAGTTTGGCTGAACCCTTTCAGTTATAATCTTTATACATGCCTGATTTACAAAAAAAAATTGGTGTCATGGGTGTTGGTTGAACTCTTGCCTCTGGATCAGAAAATCTTGTTTCAAGAAAAATTGTAGCTCCTAATCTGGGCTGAAACTTGAGTGTATTTTCAGAGGTTTTGAATGAGACTGACGTCCCAATCTGCCTGGTAAAATGAGATGGTTAAAAATGCCATGAAACAAACTGGAGAAAGGGAGGGTTTCCAGGTCAGCATTCCTCCACATTAGTCATTTACGTTTGTGGCACCAATGGCTGCCACATTTGCCTACAGAAACAGTAGTAAACCTGACAGTAATTTTCTATAAAGTACTGAGATGTTATGAAATGGTCAAATTCAAATTTTTTTCTTAAGAAAGATCAATAAAAAAGGGAAACTACAACACAAAACAATCATTTTCATTTTCGAACAGAGGGTTTTTATAGTTCATTCATAAGTGAGGTATAGAATCAAAAAGTCTCATGACCCATTTGGCCTCTTTCCAGAATTTTCCTGTTATAGCATCAAGCTCTTTCTTAAATGAATTCAGCATCGTGGTCTCTACTACAAATCCTAGTAATCCATTCCATTTATTGATTTTCTTCCATGTAAAGAAATATTTCCCCTGATGTCTGTCCTAAAATTATCTTTTGTAACCTGTGAGCTCTGTGAGTCTGCTTGCCCAGCAAGGACCACCCTAATTATATAGACTTTGGCTTGCAGAGTTAACAGGAGCTGAGTGATCGATCTGCTCCTCCAGCTCCTGTCGATGAGCCAGGCTGTCTGGTCTGTCATCAACATTGTCTTGGACTACTGCTTACATACAAGTGAGGTATGGATCAAAAAGTCTCTTGACTCATTTGTCCTCTTTCCAGAATTTTCCCATTATGGCATCAGGAACCAGACTACCAAAACTGCACAGAGGATTGCACCCCATTCTCCCCCCCTCCACCACCCACCCACTCAGGAGGATAGTCACCCGTGCTTATTACTAATTAACATTACTATTGAAATAAGAAATGTTGATCATCATTCATGTATTTTGACACTGGTAAATGTACCTCTGACTTGTAACAGAACTTTGGTTAGTAATCTTTTCACCAACAGTTTCAGAGTCACATGAATGTGTGTGAGTAACTGGAGATCTGGAGGAAGAGAATGAGGAGGAACTAGAAAGAAAGAAACAGGAAAATTTAGAGAAACTACTTTTCCTGGTATGTATGCTTGACTATTTCATGTTTGGCATCAATAATCAAAACATCTAATTGAGTCCAACTCTAAGTCTAATTCAGTTCACAGGTGGCCTCACAGATTGGCAATTGACAAACTCATTCACTTGCGGAACGTTGGAATGTGAATATGATCTAATTCAAAATATAAAATTCCACTGTGGTTCATTTTCTGTTTGCTTCAGTATCTGAATTCAATGAGATTTGAGCCTCTGAGTCATGATGTGATCTTATTAAGGTGAAAAATGCAATATTTAGAGTGGTAATTATTGGAATTTAGTTTCAGGTAAATTCTATTTCTCCTTTGTTTTAGAAAAAGATACTATTAAGGAAGTACACATCAATGCCAAACCTTGTTTCAAATAAGCCAACCCCCTTTGACTGGCCATCTGGAAAGATTAACGCAAAGGTACCCATTGCCTTTTGACCATAATGAGTAGAATTTAATTTAGCTTGAAAAGGTTTTGTTTCAAAACTCATTCGTAGCATTGTGTGCATTTTCTTGCTGTGTTCTTTATTTAAAGCTTTGAAAAGAAAACACTAGATATAATCATGTACCTTGTAACCATTGCGCCATTCTGACCTATTTCATAATATTAGCAATTTTTAAATCTGTTATTTTTAAAAGGACTTTTTAAGATTATATTAAAAAAACTAACTTTATCCCTTCTGTTTTGCACTTTTTTAAAAACCTATAGTTATCTTTATATTTACAAATGGTTTCTGGTGCAATCAGATGAATTCAAGCTCATGAACAAAAATCTAATACCATATTTTCTTTCCAATTCAGAAAACAACCTCTGGAATTCAAATGTCCCCACAGATCACACAATTGAAACCCCTAGAGAAGATAACAAAAGTTTCCAAACTGTTACAACAAGCTGAAACATCACAAATTAGCATTGAATTGAAACACGAGGATCACATCCCAACAACTGCTGAAACATTAGAACAAGGAGCTGGAACACAACACACAATGACTGAATTCACACCCGTCGATGACTTCCCATGTGCTGATCCTTATATCCGCAAGTGTAAATCTTTACCAAACCTCCATTTTCTTAGTTATGATACACTGAAGGTAGATGAAAATTTTCAATCGATCATGAAAGAGATAGAAGTGCAGAGACAGCATCTGATACTGACTTCAGTTTATTCAGCTAGGGGTTATCCAAGTGTCAAGAGATCTCTATCAGAACAGAAAGTGCAGGTTTCTGAGAATCTAGATTCAGCTCCAACAAACCAACTAATTATTGAAGCAACAAAAATTGAAGCTCAAGAAACTGAAGCCAAGAGTCCATTGCCACCAACATTTGCCAAAAAGACAAGTGGTCAAAAACATGCCAGTTTTCAGAAGAGAAAAAAAAGTCTGCGAAAAAAATCATTGGGTGCATCAAAGCTTGCTTTTGTTCAAGCAAAAATGAACTTACCACCAAGAATTCTTACCAGGTTTTGTTTTTTATTCTTACACTAATAATGATAGTTGATTGAAACTAAATTTGTTCAGCTGGTTGTCTAATGATTCTTAAGAGTATTGAAACCAGACTGAGAGTTCCACATATGTATGCCAACTCGTGTGGAAATTTCCCTTTGTCTGGAATTGAATGTGCATTTTCTTCCTGAAGGCATGTACCCTCTTACCTAGTTTTGGAGAGTATTAGGCAGAAGATGGCAAGAACCACACCTTCTTTGACTCCAGAATGTGTGTTGGAACACTGCTTGAGTTACCTAGCTTACCGCACATATCTTGCCATTGCGAACATTACTTGGCAAGTTTCCCACTGCTTGTCCAGATAGGCCACTACCCATTAGAGCTTTGGCTTGTATAGTTAACTAGATTTGAGTGGGTAGAACCTCTGCTCCCTGTGAAAGACCAGTTCTGCCCCTCCAAGTTCTGTTGATGAACCTGGTTGACTGGTGTGTCATCGACCGTGCTCTGTAGTACTGCAGACCTGTCTGGCTCAGGACCCAGACCACCAAGATCTTTACAGAAGATCAACTCAATTCCAACATTCTATACATTATATTAGAATACATTAGAATGTAGAGCACAGAAACAGGCCTTTCAGCCCAACTGGTCTATGCTCGTGTTTATGCTCCACATGAGCCTCCTCCTGTCCTTCCTTAACTAAGCCTTCAAGCTGTTAATATTCTGTTAATACTATAATTTGTATTGCGACTAAATTGTATTGCATCTAATTATAATTTACTTTTTTTCTCTTAAAACAGACATGAGTCCCTCCCAATATTACCTAGACCAATTGAGCCAAGATTGAGGGTCCCTAAATGGATGCGACACCAACGAAGTTCTAGCCTGCCTTTTACACTTGGGTTTGAAGCATTTGTAAAGGCTGAAGGAGGGATTGGTCAGAATGTAGTTGAAAGAGAGTGGGTTAGAGCTATCTGGGACAAGTGGTTTGATGAAGTTTTCCCTGCTACTGAAGGCCCCAGTGACTTAACTGATGATAAAAAAGTTGAGTCTCAAGCAACTAAGGAAAAAGAGCTAATGGCTAATCGTGAAAGCATGTTGAAGGAGATAGAACTACAGAATTTGGTTTCATTAAGGGAACGAGCAAAACTGGGAGTTCAAGCTGCTGAAACTTGGCATCCTTTGTTAAATGTTGATTTGGGGGTCACCGAGAATGACCTACAGTTTGAAACCAACAAACTAACACAGATCATTGAAAAGCCAAATGCAGGTACAGCATTTGATTACTGCAGACGAGGAGCTTTATATAGAAAATTAGGAGAACTAAAGCTAGCCATGGATGATTTAAACAAAGTAAGTGCATATAGAAATGAAAACGCCTTTCATAGTATTTCAAACTATTTTGTTGCTGTATATTCAACAAAATCTTTTTTCTAATTTATTTGTTTCCAATTTATTGTTCTCACTTCTCTCCCACTGAAATATTGGTCAACAGCTATCCTCGTAAGGATTTTTTCTTTTGAGATTACGTTTATATATTTAAAATAAGATCTTGCTTTATATGCAACATGCTTGAATGTTGCATGAACTAATTTTAGGATCTGGCTTCTGATTAAATATTTAGAGACTACTGCGATTTGTATGGATTTGTGGTTTACAATCTGTTCAGCGCTTTGGGATGTCCTCCTGACATGAAAGGCGCTTTACAAATGTAATTTTGTATTTTTGTATTGTAAAAAGGAAGCCATTCAGCTCATTGTACCAATGCTAGTGCTGGTTTCTCCACTGTATTCCAGCTTCAAGATCCTTGTGAATCTCAATGGGAGGCTCACTCTAATTCTTTTCTCATTTTTCTTCAGCCAACATATTGGTCAATAGCTATCTTATTGTTATTTTTACAAGAAATGATGATGGGGCTCTTTTCTGCTGAGGCAAGGTGTGAGATTCCTCAGTCAGATCTTTTTCACTGGCAGTCCAGAAAATCTATTTAGAGAATACTGCTCTCCCCTCCATTTAATTGAAGTTTAATCAGAATTCTGGTAAAGGACTATAGTTCCAACTTACAGTTCCAATTAAGCATTGCACTCTTCAAGATTTTACATACTGAGATAGTGATATTATGTATTTAATATAAAATCATTGTTTATTAATTGATTGATTGTATTTCCGATTTGCAAATTTATATACAATTTGTTTGGTATTCTTATGATATTTTGATTTATATATTGTTCAATAAATTCCTACTTATTAGCAAAAAACATTAACTAAACTAAAATTACGTCTATTAGGCAATTGAAATGGAACCAAAGCTGCTTGATGCTTATTGGCACAGACATCTGATTTTTGTTCTGCAACTTAAAGTACCAAATGCATTGGAGGATCTGAATTATGTGCTTAAAAATAATAAAATCCATGCAGGTAAAATAAATATTTATTTACCTTACAAATGTTATTTATGTTCTTGCACGAACGTTGCACAGGCTAATAAATACATTAATTAATATGATGATTTATGAAACAAAAGGTCAACAGTATGAATAATCTATTTTTGAAGCAGTTTCAGTGTAATGTGATCTCTCATAAGGAATTTTCCTTTTAATATTACATTTATATATTTAAAATAAGATCTTGCTATATATGATCGTGCTTGAATGTTGCATCAACTTTTCATAAAGTAGTTGTAGTTTATTGTCTCGTTATTGGTGTTAGATGCTTACAGATCAAAAGCAGAAATATATAGAAGTAGAGGAGAGATTACAATGGCAATTATAAATTACACCCAGGCACTGAAGTGTAAGCCTGATGATGAAACCTACTTCCGAAGAGGTGAGATGCACGAACATAGAAATGAAGTGAGGCTGGCCATGGAGGATTATAGTTTGGTAAGTTAGCTTGTTTGGAACGCTGTATTCTAAAGACTATTTTTCAGATGCATAGATGCGATCAAATATTGATTCACTGATCTATAACTAACATCTAAATTTCTCCCAGATACCTTTCTTTTGTCATTCCAGGGTAGTCTCTTGACTACTCAGTAGATGAACAGTTATTTCCTGTGACATTATCACCAATGATTGCAATGGAATTAGAATTAGTTGCCTCTTTTTGAACATCTATGTGCATCTTTTTCATGAGAATAAATGCTTTTGGTTGCAACTGATTTTACAGTAAAATGTATCCTGAAATGATCAAAAACATGGACAATATTATTCACAAATCTGATATTGTGAACTATTTGGAATTTAATGATGTGGTATGTTCTGAATTTCATTTTAGGCTATTTCCATGAATCCAAAAAGGTTGGATGCTTTGATGAAACGTGCTAAGTATTATTTTAACATTTCCAACTGGAATGTAGCAATTCAGGATTATACATCAATAATACAGTATGACCCCACCTTTGCCAAGGCAAGGTAATGAAAAAATATTGTTAAATGATTCTTAACTGTATGAGGTTCTATTTGGCGTTAAAACTGCTCTGAATAAGCATCCAATGTATAATCTTTGTACACAAATGCTTCTATCAGTAACTTAGGAAGGCAATACCAAAATAGTTAATTGTAACCAAAATAAACCTTATGAGGAACTGCACTTGTCTTCTGTTTTTCACTTCATAAATTCTATTGAATGCTATTTCTGACCCTAAAAAACTGAATACCTCCACTATTTTTGTCTTTCAGCAAAACTCTCTGATAATTCTTTTTTGTGACAAATGTTAATTACAGCTATAGAAAGAAGAGATTCTAAGCAATGAAACAATGTGGCTATGTGTGTATGAGAACTGCAATATTTATTTTTCAAGGAAAGTTACAATTTCACACATCTGTAAATTGTCTGATGCAATCTTTCTATAATTTGCTGTGTAAGGAATTTACGTGGGCAGGCGTATGCCAAGCAAGGACTGTACCAAAAGGCAATATTAGATCTATCAGCAGCCATTCATTTGGATCCTAATGACTGGGAGGCTTTTTACCACAGAGGCTGCCTGCTACGAAAGGTTGAACCACATAAAGCTATACAGGACTTCAGTGTTTCAGGTACCATGTGCTTTATGTTTAGAAAATAATAAATTAAGATACTATAAAATGTAAACCTGAAATCCAAATATCATAACTGAAGATTTGGGAATTTTTCAATTGGCCACTTCGGAGTCTGAGACATGCAAAAATACACCTAAATACATAAAACCTGAAAATAGAATGTTTTTTAATGTTGCATAAAAATGTTCAGGATAATAAATAGTTAATTTTGTGTAAAAGTATAACTACTTTCCTCTGCAGTGCTTATTAACAACGAAATTGAGAATTTGGATACCTTTCTTTTCCGGGGAATTCTGTACACCCAACTCAACCTCTGGCCAGAAGCAATATTTGACTTTGAAACTGTGCTCAGGCTTGACAGGTACTAGATCTCAGAAACCTCTTTGGAATGGTATTCAATAAGCTAACAGCAGCAGAAAGTTTAAGAATATATTTTCTTTATAGAATAGTAAAATACAAACTGTTGTTCCCAGCCGACTACAGGTTTATATATGCAACGGATTACACATATAATTTATGTAAACAGTTTGAAGCTGAATGGTATTTAGGGGCTAGAATAAGTGTGCATTATGTAACTGTTTCTATTGTTACAAAATATTATTCCTGGGTTAAAAAAGCCACATTAATTTGAAAACTATTCCAATTCAGAAGCTAAGAATATGTCACTTTTGTTCAATGTTTAATATTGCTATTTGAGGTATTCTCTCTTTGGTATTTTGTCTTGCTTTAGGTAATAGACAAAGGTGGTCCTCATTTAAGCTTCAGATGTATTTGATTTCATTCTTTTAGAACACCCACTTCTCACCATCCTCTCAATGAACATTGTTGTTTCTTAAATGAATTCAGTGTCCTGATCTGAGTCGTCTTTCCTGATAATCATTGCGTCTGTTTATCGCCCCTCTGTGGAAACACACTTTACATCATGTCTGCATTTAAGGAATACTACACGAACACCCTGGAACTTGCTATAAAGTGTACTACGTATTGAGTAAAACGTTTTCATTATTGAATGTCATTAACTTTCATGAAGAATTACAAACCATTAATATGCCTTGTGTTTTATTCTCAGCGCTATTAGTGTAGCTCATGTAAATTTGGGGCTTATTTTCCTTTTAAAAATGAATCAGTATTTTGAAGCAATTCGAAGATTCACAAATGCCATAAAGGTTGATCCAACTTATGCAAGAGCATATGTGTGTCGGGCAGAAGCACATCATAAGGTATGCAACTTAGATGAAATAAGTTAAAGATAAAAGCTGTAAAGCTCTATATTTTTGGCCCTTTGTCTGTACTTATGTAAATTCATATTGATAGTTTACTTTTATAAAATACTTAACCTGCATTTCAGTGGTTTAAATTATGTAAACTATAATATATATTCAACGAAAACAATTGTCATTGTGACAATGACCCTTATATGAATTATTAACAAAGCATTCAAAATACTTCTGCAGTATTTTCAAACTACCTAAACCAATTAATGAACATGTTCCTTTTTTTAAGCCTAGATTCCTGTAGATTTTAGTCTTTTGCAAAAGCATTCTGAGGAAAATTCTTTGATTCAGCTATAATTGCCCTGGGCAATATATTTTTACGCATGGTTATAAATTATATATTTTGGCTTCTTTTTGTGATAGATCCATGATTTGAGAAATTCGTTGAGGGATCTAACCAATGCCATTCACCTCCAACCTGATGTACAGTACTTCTACTTGTTGAGGTGAGAGAAAATAATATTTCCTTCATCCTCAAAATACTCATAATATTATTGTATGAAATAACATAGTTTGTATAGTGGCATTAATGTACATCATGTAAACTATTATTGTGGAGTTCAATGATTTTACATTATATCTGTCATTAACATGCAGGTTACAATGCAAAATACAGACATAAAACAGCTCAAAGTCCCAAATCACATAACAGTGTTTCAACAGACTTGTGGGTATTTTCCATAGTAGGATTTCCAGTAATTTTCCTAAGTTGTAAAAAAAATCTCTGCCCCTTTTACATAATTTTGATACTAATCACAATTGCCCAACTGAGAAGGTATTCTGCTCCCTAATATAGCTGTCAGAGGCTCCTCCCCCATCTTTCACAATATTCACATTGCACCAGTCTCAACTTTGCATGTTTCAGTTATGACAGTTCATACAATTAAGATAACGTTTTATACAATTAAAATATTAATTTGCTGGTTAACCTTCTACAATAACCTTCTAGTATTTCTCTTTCAGTATTCCAATTACATTCAGTTTTGGTTACTCAATCCCCAACTGTTTCTGGGACTGTCTATATACTCATAGAGTAGCAGTCATAAGAAGTGCGCAATTGTCTGCTGCGTTTTGCCAACAGAATATACAGTCAATTCACTTTAACAATATATTCTGTGAAGCGTTTTGAGATATCTCGAAGATGTGTTAAGGGGCTTTATTCAAAAGCAAGGATTATTATTAGCATTATAAATAAAATGCTGAATTCTCAGTAGTAATATTCCTTACGAAAGGAATTTTACATTCAAAAGACTGCTGATTAACAATAGTGACAACTGAGCAACACAAGGAAACTATTTGATCAGACCTTATAAAACAGGTGGACTTGAAGCTGTAATGTTGAGTAATCTAAGGTATTACTGATTGTACCTTCAAATTGAGCCGCAACTCCAGCAATGATATGTAAAAATAATTTAACAACTGAGTTTATCTCAGAGGAACTGATTGTCTGATCAGTCAAATCAAGCCTGAACACAATTGTTTCTGCTCCCTATGCCAGTTTAATATTTTGGCACAAGATTATCAGCAATTCACCTCACAATTGGGTTGTTGAGATAATCTCAGAAAACTAGAGAAATCATTATTTAATTGCATCTGTGGTTTTGCTTTTTAGCAGAAGTTACTTTTGGCCATTGCTTCTGAAATCTTTGATCAGTGCTTGGGCTGATTCTACACTTACCTTTGACAAGATCTCCCTTTTCTTTAAGGATATCAATTGTTATGGGTTTCTTGTGAATCACTTTGAAAAAGATTAGATTAATTAATCAGAGTGCTTAATTCCAAATATAACCAATAAAATCCTGCACTTGAATTGAAATTCAAAAGCAAGTTTATCTGTATATCCATATAGTAGCAGTCGTAAGCAAACAGCTTGCACTAATTACATAGTGTACAGTAATTTCTACAAATATGTTTACTGCTTTCAGACTATCCTCTGCAGTTTGTTTTTTCACCACATGATGGAGACTGCAGCAAATAGATCTGTCATTTGCTTTAAAAAGATATTTCATGTTACATTAAGCACTTTTTTTTTACAATTTAGAGTTTACAATACAATTAAACACAGTCTTTGAGAGTACTAATGTATATTGTAGTGATGATGCAAGCTTCAGTGGTCACAGAAGATAATTTTTATAATAATCGTGCATTTGACATAACGCCTTATCACATCGCAGAATTCATTTAAAGTGGATTGACTGTATTTTGTGGACAAAACGTGATAGCCAATTGTGCACAGCAGTGTCCTACAAACAGTCGTGGATTGAGTGACCAAATGTTTTTTTGTGGAGGGATTATTACCCCTGTAAAGCAATCTGCCAATCGACTAACAAACGGTTTGCTTCTTACTGCTAGGTAAATAGAGGTGTGTCGAGTAAGAAAACTTACCTAACGTTTCACCCTGTCCGGGAATCGAACCCGGGTCCTCTCGCTTGTAAGGCGAGTGTGCTATCCATTACACTACAGGGCTCTTTTTTTCCCCATGCATGTTGTTCATTTCGGACGGTGATCAAATATATTACAACTCAGTTTATTTTAGTGTTTATAACCATCAGATGAACAGGTTTTATATTGTACTACAATTTTGATATTAGTACTTTAGAAAGTTGGTTCTCATTAAGATGAGGGTTGTCAGTGTTGAGGAATGGAACACATTTTCTTTCTGTGCACCTAGTTCCAGAATCAAATCCAAAATGCGAAGCTGTTTTTCTCATTCAGATACTGGTTGATGTGTGCATTTCCAGCTTTTGTTTTTATTACTGGTTAGCTACATAGTCCATTGTTTCATTTTGTTGCTTTACTAACAGGGGACAGTATCTGTATGAAATGAAACGCTATGAGCTTGCTAGGTTTTGCATCGTCCATGCTGCTGAAATAAATCAAGGTAAATGTAGAACAACTTTATCTAATGATTCTGTATACTGCTTGGAAGATTGGTAAAAAGAGACTCATTGAATCCATTGATTTTACTTTGTGTAAAACAAATTATTGGGACAGAAAAGTTCAATGAACAATTGTTCAAAGTAACTCATTCAATTAATTTAGTTTAGTGCTTAGAATCTGAGAATCATCCTAAAAAATGCCAACCAGATTTATTTTCTATTTGTACTTTCACATAATTTGCATCAAAATTGAAGCGTTTTACAGTTCAAAAAGAATAGATAGATGAGACATCACCATGTTTAGCTTTTTGCATTTGTAAACCTTGGCTGTAGTTAGTCAGATTCCTTTGTACTTGAAAATGCTGCTCAATTTATGAACAAGATAAAACAATTGTTTAAGTTTTGGTTGTGAAAACATAGCTTCATTTTCTAAAGAGTTTTGTCAGATAAGAAGCTCAGTTAGTTGAACAGCCTCATATGAATCAGGCATTAACAATGAGGCAAACAAAATAAGTAGAAAACCCAATGTCCAAAGAAAAGCTGCAGGAAATGAACGTTGAAAAACATCAGGCTTGTCTTTTACAATATTTTAATTGTCCCCAATTTTATCTATTACTCACGCAAACAGCTCTGGGCTCATCGCGTGTTCAGCAGGCTGCAATACAGACTTTTTTAAAACATTATGACAGAGCGATAGACTGCTTGGCTGCAGTTGATCCTTCTCCAGTCTTGTGTATTTTGCTTGGAAAAACACAAATGAAAGCCAAAAAATTTGAGGTAATGTACATATTTGAATCTAAATATGACATTGTTAAATATGTGAAGGTCGATGATGGAAATTAGTAGTAAATTAGTACCTACAATGTTGTATTTTGTATTTTTCAGAGCTAGTTTTTTTTAATAAAATAATGACAAAGGCATGTCACAGTTACTAAAAGCTAATTTTTTTAACAGACAGATGTGTCACGAATAGGCGAAGCTTTCAACAGCCTATATTTTTTAACGCATGTTAAATTGTCAAAGAATACGAAGGGGACTTTCTCCTCTGCTGCATAATTGCTTGTAAAACACAAAAACTGCATATAACATTTTGGTTACAGTGCACCAGAACTCAAATTTTATCAGAGGCAAGAGTAATATTTGAAATAACAAATCTAGGCTTGTAATGCAAAAAACAGTTGTTCATCATCAGTGCTTGTAAAATCAATTCCAGTTCCTTTTCCAAATCTTTTGTTTTGAAATGTAGGATGCACTGGTGACCTTTAAAAAAGGGTTGCAGCTTTTACCTCCACAGTCTAAACCTTTGGACACGTTAACAGAAACTGCAGAAATACACTACCTCATGGGACTTGCCTACAGTCAAAATGGTAATTTGATTGAGGTGAGAATGTTATTTCTTCTTTGGAAATATTACGTGTAGGCTGACTCACTAATCTTTTTTGCCTGACTTAAAATGTTGTTTTTGATTGATATTTTCAGGCATTCGAATCATTTAACAAGGCACTGAAGCTATTCCCATTGTATGCTTTAGCATATTACCAACGAGGACTGTGCAGAATGGGACTTCAGGAGACAAATTATATCCAAGACTTTCATAGAGCACTTGATATCAATCCAAATCTGTTTGAGGTATTGAAAATTGCACTGTTGAAATAAATTTACATTGTGCTTGTAAGACTGTCCCACACCTCCCACCCACTTTGGAATTCAGCTCATAGTCCAGGCTGTGCTCTTTCCAAAAGTCCCTTCACCTTGGCCATCTTTCGTTGTCTTGACAACCCTTCTTAAAGACTCTTTCTTTGGGTATGCTTTTGGTCAACATCCTCATAATCCTTTCCTCACTTAGTGATCCACACCATCTCCATAAAGCATTTTGGTGATGTCAATCCCGACGTGAAAGGCGCTATACAAATGTAATCTTGTTGTTGTTATTCTACATGAATGACAGGTGCAAGTTGTGGGTGTTGTTTATGAATATATTTCAGAAAAATGTTTAACCTGAGATATTTATTGATATATGGTAACATAAAAGTTCCAAAGGAATGCTTGCTAAAAGAAAATGTCATTGTTTCTGCAGGTCTTCATAAGTCGAGCTATTTTCTATGGACTGCAAGGCCGCTATTTTAAGGCTCTTCTGAGCTGCAACAAAGCACTAATGATTCAGCCCAAGAGTGTGAGAGTCTTTATTTATAGAGGAACATTGAAATTCTTCATTAAGGTATGGTTTCGTACCATTCTTATTGACAATTCATTTAATTTGGTGATTGATGTATAGTGATAGTACTTTTGAATCAACTGTAAGTGAAAAGGATGTTTGCAGTTTTTTAACCTGAGTTGAGCAAAAGACTTGAGAGTTTAGAAGTAAGCGATTGTATCTTTAAAGGTTTTCTGTCTGTCACAATTATCTGACTCCAGCTACACAACAACAACAACAACAACAAGATTCCATTTATAAAGCGCCTTTCACGTCAGGAGGACGTCCCAAGGCGCTGCACAGTTGGGTCATGACCCGAGCAGGGGGGAAATGGTCAGGGTGAGGGGAGGGAAGGGAGGGAGCGAGGAGGGGGGAAATGGTCAGGGTGAGGGGAGGGAAGGGAGGGAGCGAGGAGGAGGAAGAGAGTCGAGAGGGGAGCTGAAGGCACGGTCAAAGAGAAAGGTTTTGAGAAGGAGGAAAGGGAGGAAGCAAGGCGAAGGCACTGGGGGATGGAGTTCCAGAGCCTCGGGGCTGAGAGGCTGAAGGCCCGACCACCGATGGTAGGGCGGTTGGGGCGGGGGACGTGGAGCAGACCGGAGCCAGAGGAACGGAGGGTACGGGCAGGTAGGTAGGGGGATAGTAGGTTGGAGAGGTAGGAGGGAGCAAGGCCGTGAATGGCCTTGTAGGTGAGGATGAGGATGGTTTTATGCTTCTGCCATATACAATTGTCCCATTCATACTTAAATAAAGCCATGTCATGAATTCCAATGTTATAATAACTTAATCTAAATGTGCAAGTATGGGGAAAGAATTGACGCCATCATAGCTTCTTGCACAGATGCCTCCATTATTCAGACAAATAAGTACCTTGAAATTTAGGTACTGTATCTACAGTTTTGACAGTTATCGGTGACTTGCTAAAGAAGCAAATAGGTAGATGGAATGTTGCACACAATGTCAATCACGTATATTAAATGTGGCAAGAGGCTTCCCTCTAATGAATCCATTTCTGTCTTTGAATGGTTGGTAGAATTTGAAAATAGTTATACACTGTGCGGTAAATAAATAATAATAAAATTGATCACTTTCGATCCACTCCTGTTTGTGGGACATTGATGTGCGCGATTCGCTGCTGGGTTTTGTCCACAAAATATACTTTGAAGTCAAGCGCTTTGAGACGCCCAGAAGACGTGAAGAGTGCTATGTCAAATGCAAGGATTATTATTATCATTCACTATACAGAATATTCTTTGAAGCACTTTGAGACATCTCGAAGACATGATAAGGCGCTATAACAAATTCAAGAAATATTATTATTACAAATTGTATTTGGAAATCACCTTGGAAAGTGTTTAATAGACTCCATGTCGGATTCAATACACATTGGGTCTACATGAATTTACCTGTATGATTATTGTCAATTGTTATACAATAAATATTGCACTATACAAATTGTATATTTTAAACAATAAGCAGTAAATGTTGCACGGTAGGAAATTGTACCTTGGTGACTTACATTCTTCAGGGTATTGTCAGTGTGATCTCCTTGGGCTCAGCTTGCTCCAAAGTAACTTGCGTGGTAATGAAACGTCAGAATCGAGTCGACCTTCTCTGAGGGTCTGGGTAGCCCGCTTCTTAAGCCAGGTGAGTCTGCAGTACTGCAAGGCACTGCCGTTAACAAGCGTACCCTGCCTGCCACTGAGGCACTCTATTCCATACACTGGGAAATTTTCATGTGTAGGTGGTATACATATGTGAAACACTCTGTCTGGTTTGGTTACTGTTAATCATGGCAATGGATTTTTGTTTGTGTCAGACATCTGGCTGACAAAAAAAGTCTTTGTGAAAACCTGGAGATTCTCTGGGCTCGTTATTGAATGCCTTGTTCCTGAATAGCAACAGTTTTAATAAATGTGTGACATTTCAAGTTCTGCTTTGACTTAAGATTTCACCTATTTACAAATATCAATCTATTACAGGCATATAAAACAGCAATTGCCGACTTGAATTCAGCAATAGCCATTGACAATGTCTGCAGCCTGGCATTCTTTAACAGAGCTGTCTGTTATCACCAGATAAACGAATATGATAAGGTACATGGAGAAAAGCCTAACTCTGTTATCTGTGTTTTATTAGCTGCCCACATCACTGTAAGCAGAGGTACTGAATACAGATACTTGTCATTGATTAATATCCCTCCAAAAACCGAAACAATAATAAATTGGTCATTTTCAATCTACGACTGTTTGTGGGACATTGCTGTGCGCAATTGACTGCCGCGGTCGCCCACAAATATACAGTCAATTCACTTTACAGTGTGTTCTGTGAAGCGCTTTGGGACGTCCTCCCGACGTGAAAAGCGCCATATCAAATGCAAGGATTATTATTATTATTATTAATATATTAATATCATTCTGAAATTCTCACTAGTGTGAACATCACTGTTTTCTGGTGTTTCATGAGTGCTTATCTAATAGTGAATAATATGATGCATATTTATCATGTGATTTAGAATTACCAAAGCCTGCTGAATTTAAATTAAAAATAATCGTTATGCGTTAAAACCGAGTTAAAGTTATGCCTGTATGTTCAGTGTTGTTGGGTTATCGGTGTACATATTTTGATACTAAAATCCTTTTATTTGCCCCCAGTCCGTTTTTTGTGAACAGAGGCATGTGGAGTAAGGAAATTTGCCTTACTAAGTAAGGAATGAAATTTCCCCAGGTCCTCTCGCTTACAAGACGAGTGCTTTAACCAATGGTTGTTGTAAATAAGTGAGCCCAGAGAGTGAATTCAAGAAGATTTGATCAGAAAGAGTCACAGCTGGGCTGATTCAGTGGTGTTTTCATCATCCTCATATTCAGTTTCCAGCTGTGGTCACTGGATATACCACAAAATATACTTTTAAGGATTTAAATTTAAGATTTAGAGCAATGATGCGGATTATAGAACTAACTGCCATCCGTGTGCCATCGGAGATAATTCAGTCTATTTTAAAATTAAAAACGGAGTGATAATTGAAGGCATGTGGAGGGACTGTTGAGGTGTGAATTAACATTCACAGCTGTAACTGAAGAATCCCAGGTTTATAGTTATAAATCTGCTATACAGCTCCTCCACAATTGAACTCAAGACAGTGCCCTTCACAATGTCCTCAATAATGTTCTCATTATTGTGCAGATGTCATGGTGACTTGGTTGGGGCTGAGTCCAGGGGTGGGGCGGGGTGTGGAAAGCTGGCGAGTGACTTCCAGGCCGTGTTCTCTTTCCGCTGATGATCTAGGTCGGGTGAACCAACTTAGTTTAACACCCAATTGTGACAGAATGAATCCAGGAATGATTAGGGCAGATCATGTGCAACTCTTTCAGATCAATTTGCAATAATCAGCAACAGCATACATCAGTGTGCAGCAGAGTAACAATTTTAATAGATTTTTTTCCTTTTCTAAGTTTAAAGGGTAGTCGTGGCAAATAAAAATTTAATTGACAGTGTTGGATAACATCAACCAGGAGGGCCATGCTGTGTATTTGCAAATAGATTTGGACTTAAGTTAACATTTTCGAATATATTTTAGGCTTTGAAAGACTACGGGATAGTGATGCTTCTTGGTGGGCTAAAGGAAGTTGATTTTAAGCTACTAATTAACCGTGGTTTGCTGTATTTTAAGATGGAAGATTACTACAGTGCAATACAGGTCAGTGCCAGAAAGGTTAGAGAAAAGAATACAAAATGAGAGAGCACTTTGACAGACATGTTCTCCCAATGTGAGAGGTGCAATATCAATTACAACAACTATTATTTTTCAGTGAAACATTATTAACTACTTGCAGCTAATGTTTAGCTATTTAAACATTATCTTTCAAAACTTTGGCAAAATGTGTATCATTTATTTCTGGCAAGATAATTATAATCTATGTTTCAGTGACCTTTTTTGATGACTGAAGGTATGAAAGATTTTCAAATACATCATTATCTATACCCTTTCCATAAATATTAACATAGTAACATCTTTTGCCACCTTGCCAGTCTAATCTTATTCTGTTATTAAAGTTGTTCCTGATTTTTTTCGAAAACAAACCAAAAGCATTCAGAAGGAATCAAGAATCTAAATGTAATCAGGTTATAGCTTGTTACAATCTCTTAAAATACATTCAACGTTCTTGCTTTTTGTGTAGAACACCTTATTTATTCTGTTTTTCTAGCCTAATTTGTAAAAGTTGATCTTACAAAAATGAAGCATTATTTGTTAAAACCTAATGATGGAGGTAAGAAATTTAAATTCTGTTGTATTTATTCAACTAGATACAAACTTTTGCTGACAGATTTTAATGAAAAAAATATATCTAAAATCTCTTATAAACCACACCTCTTATAAATACCAGTCACAGATTAATACAATATCTGATTAATTGTTTTTATAATGTAATCTTATTCTGTGCTTCTCGGTAATATTTAATTTATCTCAATGTGATGTGATTTTGCTTTTTTCTACATCACAGGATTTTAAAGCAGCAAGCGTATTGCAGCCTACAAATGACAAGATCTGTCATGCATTGGGATTCTGCAAACATAAGTAAGTAATGATAGATATAGTAGATAAATAAATAGAAAGTAAGAAATGTAAAAAGTCTGGAGGGGTAGATGTTCAGCAAGTCTAGTTCTGGAAGAACTACTGCATTTCATGTTGCACAAATATTCTCGCTATCAAGATCCGCATCCTCACCTACAAGGCCATTCACGGCCTTGCTCCCTCCTACCTCTCTGACCTACTATCCCCCTACCTACCTGCCCGTACCCTCCGTTCCTCTGGCTCCGGTCTGCTCCACATCCCCCGCCCCAACCGCCCTACCATCGGTGGCCGGGTCTTTAGCCTCTCAGCCCCTAGGCTCTGGAACTCTATCCCCCAGTGCCTTCGCCTTGCCTCCTCCCTTTCCTCCTTCAAGGCCGGTCTCAAGACCTTTCTCTTTGACCGTGCCTTCAGCTCCCCTCTCGACTCTCTACCCCCTCCTCGCTCCCTCCCTTCCCACACCCTGACCATTTCTCCCATCCTCGCTCCCTCCCTTCACTCCCCTCACCCTGACCATTTCCCCCCTGCTCGGGTCCTGACCCAACTGTACAGCGCCTTGGGACGTCCTCCCGACGTGAAAGGCGCCCTATAAATGGAATCTTGTTGTTGTTGTTGTTGGTACTGGTCACCATTCTGGTGCTTAAAATACCTCTGTGGTTCAAAAATATAATTGATAAATGATTATGTTGCATAAAGCATTTTGGTGTTTATATTGAAGTGAGTTAATTTAATTTTTGTGGAATTAGCGCAAGTTTTCAAAATTCTATTTCACTTTTATGCAGGTAGCTTTAAAGGCGAGACATTACCTTTCTAATCCTTGTTCTTCATTCTCAGAATTGGGCAGTTGACCAAAGCTGTGAACGTTTTCACAAAAGCAGTAAAACTGAACCCATTTTTTGTGGATGCATACTTCGGACGTGGAAACGTCTACATGGATTATCGTACTGCAGCTGGAACAAAGGAGGCACAAAAAGATTTCCTTCGAGCGCTTCATTTGGACCCACTGTGTGAGAAAGCCAGAATCAGTCTGGCATACAACTTTCAGGTGACAATAATTTATTACATTTATAATATTTGGGATTTTGATTCTCATCTCGCTTTAGCTACATTTGTCAAAAGTTACAACACAAAGAAAATGGCTCTTAATTCATTTTTGTTATGAAAAACTTCTAAGTGCATACATACTTAAAGTTATTTATAAATTATTAATCTAGAGGCAAATTAAACTTCTGGTTGTCATGTTGTTTTCTGGATTGTAATACTTAAAATAATAGAACATTGTTACAGGGGACAAACTGTTAGCTCATACACTGCCTTTTGAACTCCGTGTTTTGAAATTAGACAACAGATGAGATGAAACTTTCCACTCTGTAGATGATCAATGAAATTAAATCTCAACAAGTCACAACTCAGTTCGAATTAGGTAGAAATTCCCAACAATAAATACCCAGATACAGCACAAATTTTGCAATTCATTATTATTCTAACTCAGCAAACCCAAAAGTTTGGCTGCCCTGGACAATTGACCCATTATGTTTTAGTAAATAAGAGTGAATAATCTCAATTACTGCATCTGTGAATGCTCATTTTAATATCAGTCAATGGCTTAAATCCACCCCTGAGCTGGTATTTGAAGAATTTCACAATTTAGGATTTGGTCTGTTAGCAGTGATATTCACAGATGCACTTCTAAAATTATAGAAACTGCACAAGCACCAGACATTGAGCAATAAGGAATAAGATAATAGGATTAAGACAAACATTTAAATAATTATTTTATTAATATTTAGTTTATAATTACATTATTTTCCCTTATTAGGTATTGGGGAGGTATCAGAAAGCGTGGAATCATTTTACAATTGCAATTGATAATAACCCCAACTTTCAAGACGCGTATGAAGGGCGGGCAGTGATCAATCTTCAAATGAATGACACCTTTGCAGCATTTCAGGATATCAATGCTGCATTAAAGGTATGCTTAATAAGTTTAAAAGGAAATAAATTGATACCAGATTCAGGCTGACATTCCAGTCCTGCTGGTGCAGCAGTGCATTGTGAGACGAGATGTTAAACCAAGGCTCCATCTACCTGTTCAGGTGGATTTTAAAGATCATATTACACTTCGAAAGGAGAAGTCAATTCTTCTAGCCTTTTATAATTGCTTATGTTGTTAAATATTGTTGTTAGATATGAAAGAATTTAATAGATTTACATTAAGTAAATTTATATCGGTCCAATTCCTTGACTGTCCAGTATGTTTGACCGTCTTCCCGACATGAAAGGCGCTATACAAATATAATTTGTTGTTGTAACCTAATAACAGTATATTATTTTCCTTGCAGATCAGTAAGTCTGCAAAGCTGTTAACGAACCGTGGTGTGATTAACCAGTTCATGGGACATCTACCTAGTGCAATGGCTGACTATAAAATGGCTATCACTCTTGATCCCAAATTTTCTCTTGCATATTTTAATGCAGCCAACCTTTACTTCCATAACAAGCAATTTAAACAGGTATTGTTCTTTGAAAAACATATTTAAAAAAAAACTTACAGCAGTAAGTGTATAGTTTGCTTATTTCCACAGTTTTACATATAAAGTACTGTAATCAAAAGGTTCATTTTCATTACCATTTATTAATGGTGGTTAATCCGTTGCTATTGCTCTATAAGAGACGTAATAATGAAATAAACTGTATTTTTATAAAGTATTTTCCAAAGCATAAAATAGGGAGGGAGGGAATAAAGAGGGGGAAATATTTCAGGATAAAACAGGCTAGGAAAGAGTGGAACAGGTGACCATATTTTGTTACAAGTGAAATTCAGAAGTGAATGCCACATATTAATTTTGCAAACAATGAACTTCTGAAATCAACCCTTCAATTCACATAACTAGAAGCCATGGAACCATGTAGCTTTGTAAAACAAATGCTTGACTCACTTAGTTAACAAGTTAACATGACTTCTATTGAAATATTAAGCTTCTATTGAAATAATTAACATTCCTACTTGTACCCTAACTTTCTGCATACCTGCTAATGGCAGCATAGAATTTTAAAATATATGCAAGGCACCATTCAATAATGCAGCTCAAGTTTATCTCTCGCTGGAATTGATGCAATCGATACCATAAGATAAGCTTGCAAATTGAACCATATCCTGTCTAAATAATGCACTTTACTTTTGTATGCATCATACAACTGTACAGCGTTAATCTTTTTATTTGTCTCCAGTATTTTTTTTATATAAGAACTTTTATACCACTTCTCATCACAGTATTGGGTCTTCTATATTTTTAGATGCTGGACTTTTAAATTATAGATCAATTTTACAGGATTTTCATGAATGTATTCCACATGCAAAATTTGATTTGAAATTATGTGTTTTATTCAGTATATTAGCAAAAATGTAGGCATGTGTCCAGGATTCACATTTGTATCCCATTCATGCATTTTGGAATCTTTCTTTCATTCTGCTTCTATCACTAATTCATGATTTTTGGCTTCTTCAATGTTGGTTAACTGACGAATTGTCCATTGTCGTATCCGAATTTCCTGTAGAAAGATTAAAAATTGTGATTTAAATCATGAAATTTAAAAATACCTCCGCAATATAACTAAAATCAGTTTCAAATATTTTTATTCCTCAACTTGAATACTTCCTTGAATAGTATTTTGTCAGTCATACAATAATAAGTGCCTTCACTAGTTAAGCAATATAGGTAACAAATGTAGTCAGAACCAAAATTACATTTACTCACTAAAGTTCAGGATTTTATTTATGAACACATACACAAAAAGGGTAAAACTGATTACTAAGAACATTGTAAAGTATACCTGTTCAACTGGCATTACTCTTTTCTTTTGTCGTTTTTTCTTGCTAATCGATATCCCAGGGAGATCCAGTTTAACACTGGCGAGTGCTTTCCAAGAAAGATATCTTCTACCTTTGATGGTTTCCTGAGCACTTTTCTTATTTGTCTGTTTTTGAGATTTTGGAAAGGCCGAAAGATTCTTGAGAGAATTTTCTTTCAGATGAATGAAATCTTTTTCATTACTGAACATATTAATCTGCTCGTCAGACTCAGCCAAATTCAGATCTGAAAAAGGACTTTCTTCATGCACTGTTGATAGTATTGGTCCTCTAAAGGAAATAGATTTGCTTGAAATTCCCGTGCTCCATTGTTTAGCCATATTTGTATGACTGGTGACATCCTGGATGCCAGACAGTGTGTTGTTCAGAGTTGGAGACATTTCCTTGGAACTTTCACAATCGTTGATTTCCAAGAAGCTTTTTGCAGCCTTAGGTACAGGAGAGATGCTGGGTGAAAGTGAATCAGTAAACAGCTTCTCCGGTTCAAAGTGGATGGGAACAATTCTAGACAGCTGCACATTCTGATTTGAGGACTCTTTGTTTTCAATAGGACACTGTATGGGGGTGCTAGATTTCACAGTGAGTTTATGAGAAGCTCTTAATCGTTTTACATTGATGAAGGACACTTTTTCCTCAGATGACATATTCAATTACAATAGATTGCTGTAAATCTGATTTAAAAGAAAACAGTGTGAAATTAGTTAATATTCTAGGTCAAATTCTAAAAATAAAATGCACAAAGGATTGCAATTAATCTTTATATTTTCAATTGGTGGTTTAAAATGTTACATCATCAATTTTCTTGATACTATAACATTTTAACAGAAAAAATTCCAGAGAAGTTTGACTAGCGGAAACATTCAATAAAAATGTACAGAATTGTTTGGCCACCATCATGGTGGGATGGTATGTTGCAGTTCTTGGATGTTAACTTCCTCAGTCCACTAGCTGAATAACAAACAGACATTTCAACCTACCAAATAGAATATTGAAACAGGGAAAATTTCATTTTCACATAGCTTACCCATTCCAACTTTCTAAAGATTTCTACAAATTATTCATCACATCAACTAATAACCATGAATCCTTTATATTTTCAGGAACTTGTGATTTTGTATAAAACTCTTTAAACTTTCTTATTCTACTACTTGTAGTTGGTTCCCCCTTTTACAAATTGTTCTACATTACTTCTATTTTTTAATGAACCTATGAACCTATAATTTTGTTTCTGAATCTAGACAATACTGGAAGAGTACTGCAAAATATTATCCCTACTATTGATGCAGTCATTTAAAGCATTTTCAAAACATTTCTTTTGTTAAGGTGAAATCTTACCTGTCCAGCTCACAAATGACCACTGCCTACACAGCTAGTAGCTTTTCTAAACGAGTTATCCCAGAATTCTGCCTGTAGAAATGAGTTGAAGTTCAACTGCAAAGGACTCTGTCCAATTAAAGGTTAATAGTCTCTTAACGAATTTAACTCAGTGAAAGGTTAAATAATTCTGACTTATGCAAAATAGGATATCTATATCACTATCTGCTGTTCATTTAGAGAAATAATGATTGCATGATTTGTATTATCAAATATTGCAATTAAGTTTATCTATTATAATTTATTTCCATGTTTTAACTGCCCATTATATATAGGCCTGTAAATGTTTAATTTGAACTCTATTATTGCGAGTCATGACATGTCAACTTTAATGAAACCCAAATCAGCTGTTCCCAACTGTGAAAAAGTTTGGTCATTTTAATTAAACAAGTTGTTTTCTAATTCACAGGTTTCCCTCATGGGAATTTGCAGGCTAGTTTAATAGGGTGGACATAGTTAGATTGCATTGCTGCTTATTAAGAAACGTAAGGTAGTTGTTTTAAAAATTAATAGTTGCAGGTGTCTCATATAGAATAAGATACATACAATGGGGATACTTAACAGTTAAACAATTGTAATAAATAAATCACAATTACTAGGAAAAGTAATTTGCTAAAGCAGAACTCCTCTTTTACAGAATAGACAGTTCTATCCCAAGCTTCCTTAGTATTTATTGGTTACAAAAACACATACAAGACTATTTTTGGCAACCTTAAATTGAATAATCTCATCTTCTCATAGCTTTCTCACCTTTGGAGCCCAAAGACTATGTATGAGAGGATCCATTACAGCAAATGGGCTTATGGAGTAGATAAAAAGATTTATTTTAGTTCAAGATGTGGAGCAGATGGGGCATTGTTGGAAGAGGAAACTCGGTTCACTGTATCACACAACATAATGTAAAATAGTATGAAATTCCTACACTAGCATAAATGGGGATGGAATAAATTAAAATATGACCTAGTCTTTGTTCCAATGATCCTATATAGTGGCATCACAAAGTTAAAAGTGGAAGAATTAGAATTTCTACACTACCTACCAGGAAAAATCTGAATATTTGATGAAACAAATTATTACTTTATGTGCTTGCAAAATGTGTCCTCTGTTGTCGAATAAAGTTCCAGTTATGATTTATATAGAACTTTTAAATGGGTACCCTTAAGTAATGCAGTTTTCTGCCCATTATTCCTTCTCTCACTTTGTTCATGTGCTACAAGTACGAATTGGGTAATTCATAGAATTATACAGCACAGAAGGAGGCCATTTGGCCATTTGGCCCATCGCGCCTGTGAAGGCTCTTTGAAAAGAGCTACCCAAATCAATCCCATTCCCCCGCTCCCTCCCCATAGCCCTGCAAACTTGTTTTGCCTGTTGTGGAGTCCTGTAGCTCAGTGGTTAGAGCACTCGCTTTGCAAGCGAGAGACCTGAGTTCAATTCCAGGCAGGTCAGGGCGAAACCTTGGGCAAGTTTCCTTACTCCACACGCCTAATAATAATCCCCCCAAAACCAAAAACAATAATAAATTGGTCATTTTCAATCTACGACTTTGTGGGACATTACTGTGCGCAATTGGCTGCCGCGTTCGCCCACAAATATACAGTCAATTCACTTTACAGTGTGTTCTGTGAAGCGCTTTGGGACGTCCTCCCGACGTGAAAAGCGCTATATCAAATGCAAGGATTATTATTATTATAAAAGTTGTTAGCTGGTTGCCTTCAGTTATATAAAATAAAATAGTTTAGAGATGCCTAGTTCATTTAAAGATTCCACATAAGTACATCATAAATGAGCTTGATAATAATTATTTGACAGGCCGATGATTACTACACCAAGGCAATTGATCTGGATCCGGGAGATGAATCTGCAGTATTGAATCGAGCCATATCTCGTGTACTACTTCAGAATGTCCAAGGTGCACTGGAAGATTTTGAACAAGCAATTGCACTGAGCCCTTTTACAGCTCATATATATTTCAACAGAGCAAACCTCTACTTCACTCTAAAGCAGTACAGTGATGCTGAGAGGGATTTTTCCAGAGGTAAGATATAAACTTGCATAGTTTTTTTTTAAAAATCAACAAACATCTCTGAAATTTGAGATTAGGATTTTTTTTATTGACTGAATCGAGAATGACCTAAAAGCACATCAATTCATATTTTGCACAAAAGTTAATTTTATACATACGGGGTGTTTTTTGATTGAGACATTAATCTAGGTTCTATCTGTCTTGTGTATTTTAGGTGGAAGGATTCCTCTTCCTCCCCCCAGATGATTATTAAAATGAATGTGTATTGGTGCTTGTTATTCTGATTTATATTCCTTCTCATCCATATTCTAGTTAATTAGCTGCTCATTTCATTTGTATGCAGATGTTGCTGGGATAAATTAGCTGCCACAGTTGCCTACCTAATATTGAATTATATCTAATTAATATCTCTACATGGAAGAAGTTATATAAATGTAAATTGTGTATTCTTAATATTTTAGATGGAAGCATTGAGTTTTCTCTAATAAATTTAACCGCCTGGGTAGACTGAAAAATTGACCACAACAGAAGCCATAGGAGGAGCAATGGAGAAAGAGAAACCATTTTCTTTTTGTTTTTCAATTCTGTGAAGTGCCTTGAGATGTCCTCCTGAGGTGAAAGGTGCTATAAAAATTGTTGTTGAAAAAATAAGTTGGCCAAGTGAGCCAAATTACAAGAAAGATTTTTATTTTCAGGTCCATTATCTTTTATGCACATTTCAAATCTTTTCAAGAGCTGGTTCAACCTTAGATACAGAAATCTATTCTTCAAGGGTATGTGGCAACATTCAATGTTATTTAAAAAAGTATCTTGAGTGTTTCCATTCTTTGAAAAATGGGACATTGTTGCATATTTTCACCCATTGATGTGACCAAGCATTCCAATGTATAGTACAGGTTGAATGCATAAAAAAGCTTCCCTGTGCTGTCTTAATATTGTATCTGAACTCTCAATAACCTCTCATGCACTTGCAGCAGAACACCTGTATGTATTGATAGCAGGGATTGTTTAACAATCTGGAGCAGTGTTGTCCCAATTATTTTTGTGTATTTTAGAATTCTGATTATTAAAACCTGTCATAAATACTAAATAGCCATAGGAAGAAACATAGTATCATACACTAGACATTCATTATTAAGGGCAGTCAAGAGTCAAGCCTCTTCCCCTTAATTCAATAGTGAGTTTGTGATTTTTGTCACCATCATTTTCAAATAAAAATAGAATGTGGAAAAGGTAGCCTATACAGTGAATTGGCCTCAAGGTGAGGTTCTGTTTAATCAGAAGCCAATTCAAGGATGTTGAAGTAAAAGTAATAAAAAATGTTAGTCTGAGAAATAAATGCCAATCTATTCAGCTAAACCTAATTGCTAGAAAATAATAATTCAGAATGATAGATAATTATGCTGGAATACCTTGTTCATTAATATCTACCAGTCATTACTTTGATCCTTTGCCTGTATTCACCGCTAATGTTTCAGTAACTTATTCAGTTTGTTGTAAGTTGACACTGAAAGCTGTAGAGAGAATTACAGAAGTTCAAAAAGCAAATTAACTCAGCGAGAACAGTTGTTTGAGATTAACTATATGTAATTGGTAGAAGATTACAGAGAATGTTATGATTTTTGTAATACAACTGAGCCCCGTTATAAAAAGAGAGCTTGGGTCCATATAATGGGCTGAGTTATTCTGCGGCTGAGGATTGTAATTAAAGAGCTAAGAGGAGGTGAAAAGACTTTTCATACAGAACCCTATTAGAACTAATATCATAGTAATAATAATCTGCATTTTATATAGATTCTTATTAAAGTTTCAAAGTGCTTTGCAGGATTTACTGTAAAATGTAGTGATTGTATATTTTGTAGGCAAACAGGCAGTCAATTTGTGCATAGCAATGTCTCACAAACAGATATTAGGTCAATGCTTAATTTTAGGGATTACTGGGCAGTACACTAGGAAAAACTCTTTTCTTTGTGAACAGTGCAGTGGGATCTTTAAATCATTTTGGGATCCCGTTATTAACTACCATGTAATGACCCCCATTGCAAAGAAGTGTATGTCAATTAAAGGTGTGATTGGGCCATGATGTACATGTATTTGTCACCCCCTGTGTCGGCCCACCCCCTAGCTTAGAAGCTTCCTGATGCTCACTGTCTCGTCTCACCTATGTAGAATGGACACTAGAGCCATGGACTGAGGGTCAGCTAGTACCTGTCAGCATTACCAAATGATAGCCTTCACGGAAAGAGGAAGAGAGAAAATTGAGCATCAGAGTAAATATATAACTTCAATTTGGCTCAGTTCAGCCTCAGTCTATTTCATCTTGTTCTTCTCCAAAGAGTTAAAAGTTCATTTTGACTAATTCATTGGTTTCAGAAAATAATTCTGAGAATTTTGAAATGTCATCAGTACTCGGTGGCTATATTTGATTTTCTTATCTATACCACTCTAATTTCAGGCTGATTTAGCTTGAGGTTAATGAAAATGTTAGTGTTATTGTGATGAATTGGCAACAAGAATTAATAAAATAGAAAATCACAAGTATAATATCTAAAGCTTGCCCTTTAATGAAAATACATTCATTAAACATAAATGAATTGGCCTCTTGAATCTTGCGCTAGATAGAGCCAGTATAACAGAATAGTATTAAGGTTAATAAAAATGTTTTAAATGACATTTCTTTCAAACTGCTTTGAATTATTTGATTATAATAATACATAAAATCACTGAAGCTTGCTTGACAGTCAATTGATACACTATTATTATATCACAGCCTGACACAGTGAGGCTATACAGAATTTGGTCATTATAAATGATATTCAATACAATTGGTTGTAAATTAGAATCAGGAATACAGTGCCTCCAAGCATTATGCATTTCTGACAAATGGATTTTGTGCCTCTAGGGAAGAGTACTGAATTTGAAGAGGAAATAAAAAATGGTCCAGATTACATTGATTCTAAGCAATCCAGTCTGTCCCAGGCTAGTCTGGATGAGTAAGACATTTCCAGTATCTTCTAAGGGTTGGTGAGGATGATGGGGTTCACGTGAAAATTTACGTACCTAAGGAGAGAGGGTTGGGGGGTTGTGCAGCATGTCCTGATGGGTCAGACCAGGTCTGGTCTGGTTGGAGTCAGTCAGATCAACTGAGTGGGATAGCAATCTTACTGTGTCAGATTGGGACTGCAAGGCAGAGGGAAATCCCATGTCTCAGGCTGGATTCTCAGTTTAGAATGTATTTTCTGCTCTTGTATTTTTTCTCAATCCAAATCTGGCATGAAATACACTGTCATATCACCATTCGTTGTAGATTATGTGCTGGAGAGGGGCACACAAACCTGCCTTAAGCAGGCATTGATTACAAGCTGATATTTTACCTTTAGCCAAGATATAACCAGGCCAAATATCTTATTACTGTCCCCCCTTAGATCAGTGAAGTCAACAAAGACAGTAACCAAACTGTTGGGAGTAGCACATAATGTTTCTTTCGTCACCACCCACTGAATATATCCAACAATTGCAATATTTAGAAGAAGGGAAGAATGGGAGATGGAAAATGGTGTCGACAGCACAATCATTTTACATTTTCATCAAAGATCTTAAACTGCAGCTCTCCTTATGAAACTTGGATATTATGACTTATAAATAGGTCTAACAAACCAATTGTGCTTCCTGTGATAATTAGATTAGTTACAAAGCAGACATTCCTCATAGCATGGGAAACTTTTGTCCTAGCGATTGGAATGCTGTGATAATGTGATCAATGGCAATTTTACGGAAGAATGTACTATACAAAATAAAAGCCTACATAAAGCCTGATTAAATATATCTTTCATACGTCACCCTGTCAAACAAGAAAAAAAAGTTTACATTCCTATTACTTACACAGAGGATTGCTAGGTTATTATTTAGGTACAAAAGGGTTCCTGCACTTCTCAAAGAATTAGCACTGACAGTGGTGTTGACTTACCCATGAGGTTTGAAATAATGAATTAAACATAGAATTTTTTTTCGAACAGTGCTTTAAATCCATCCCTTTGACATTATCTGTCTCTCAGTGTATGTCTGTTGTGCAGTCATTAGTGTGGATTCATGGGTGTCAAACTTGAGCAGGAACCTTGACAGCATGTTAGAACATATAAATGTCTCAGCTTGCTCTTTGGTTTCTTATTACTCTAGATCTTCACTTTATTTCCTTTACTATCTTACTTACTAAAAGTCTAATCTGTGTCACTATAGAGGAGCAAAGAATAAAAGACTTAGAATAGATCGATGGCAAGTAATCAATCTACCGCCACTGCCACATTGCCAGCCTCGACTGTACCTTAACCCAAATGCAGCCAAAACCCTCGTGCATGCGTTTGTCACCTCCAGCCTGGATTATTCAAACGCGTTTCTCGCGGGTCTCCCCAACTCTACTATTCAAAAAATCCAGCTCATTCTGAACTCTGCTGCCCGCATACTTACCTGGACAAAACACTGTATCCCCATCTCACCAGTTCTGGCCAGGCTCCACTGGTTCCCCATTACCGAATGGATCAACTTCAAGATCCTCATACTCATGTTCAAATCCCTTCACTCCCTGGCACCTCCCTACCTCCTCAATCCCCAATCCACCACCCGGCGCCTCCGCTTGACTGGCACTAGCCTCCTGCTTGTCCTTCGCACACTCAACTCCACCATTGGAGGTCGCGCTTTCAACGACTACGCCCTGAAACTTTGCAACACTCTCCCTCAATACCTTCACCTTGCCCCCTCTCTTCCTTTTATCAAGTCCAACCTTAAGACTTTCTTTTTTGACTGTGTTTACGGTCACTTCCCCATCACACTCCCTGGGCTCAGAGTCAGGCTCCACCATTATTAAGTGCTTTGAAACGCTGTCCTGCATGAAAGGTGCTATATAATTGCAAGTTGTTGTAATCAATAAAGTTAATTAAGTTTCTACCCAGATATCTTAATGTACTGTGCTTATGAGGAAATTATAAAGGCTGATTTTGTTAGAATTTCTCATTCATCTGAAGTAGTCATCTGCAACTAGTCATGTTTTGCATATTCTAGTTAATCTCATGAGCTCACTTCATTTTGCTTGACACCTTTTTCTCTTCAGTCCGGTCTTTCTCCTCAGTCCGCCTACTCTTGTGATTAATGTTTTGTAAGTCAGTAATAATGCTTCTTGCAGGAAGTAAGTCAGTAATAATATTCCTCGGATGTAGAGACTGTCATATAAAGGTTTCAAATCACTTCATTTGTAATTACTGTCAAATATAGTGATTCTATATTTAGGTAAATATAACAGCCATTTTGCAAAACATCAATTAAGTAAATAATCAGGATTGTTGCACAGGACACCAGATGAAAGTACCTTCGGTTTCAAATAATAGCATGGCAATCTTTAACATTTAGGTAATTAGTATCTTGTCTCATTAGAAGAATGTCATCTCTGTCAATTCAGCTCTCCCCCAGGACTGCAATGGATTCAATGACAACAGAAATGATACAATTTAAAAAATATATGTTAAAGGCAAATTTCTGTTGTTCTAATTGAATATAATATTGTGAATTTGTGACGCGCTTTGGGATGCCCAAATGATATGCAAGGTGTTATATAAGTGTGTATTATATTGTAAAGTGAAATTTCAAAATTGTTCTAATCATTAACTTGCTTTTACTGTGTTGTCCTTTCAGCATTGGAGCTGAAGCCAGATGATGCTCTGATATATAAACTCCGTGCAGATGTCCGTGGGAAACTGGGTCGGAATGAAGACGCTATATCAGATTACAAAAAGGCAATAGATGTCCAAAATGCTATTAGAAACAGATGATTGCATTTTCCTGGAAGAATCAGCAATTACATAAAAACAAAAAAATTAATTTAACAGAAAGCTGAAAAAGAATGACCATGAAAACTACTTGTAAATAGGAACCTCATATATCTACATGAAAGCTTTATAACTGATTAAATCCACTTGTGATTCAATCTTTTAAAAGTAGGATTTAATATAGCACATAGACGGAAGCTATCACACAACTTCTATTTTATAATCACACCTAACAAGATAAATGCAGATTGTGTGTCAGTTGAAGCACTTTGATATAAGGTGTCTACAAAAATATTTTTTTCTCTGTGACCAGGAATATTTTCTATTGATCAGAAAAAGATTCCGTCTAGTTTAGGAAGCTCATTATCCTAATAAACTTGTTTTATTTTACATTTGACTTTCGAAATAACTTTAATTTTCAACACTGGTGGGGTAGCCTGAGAAAAGGTTGCAAAAATGTTGTTTAACAATGATCCAATTTTGAAATAAAAGATTTGAATTCTTTAACACAAGTTAATCAGGCTTTGTTGAATATATTTCTAACAATGTAACTTCTATTTCATATTTCTATTCTATACTTCTACAAAAACACATAGTCACTACACTTTACAGTGAATCCTATGAAGCGCTTTGAGATGACCTCCCAATGTGAAAGGTGCTGTATCGGTATAAAGATAATCAATATTATGAACAAAATCTTTTTTGCAATGAACCTGAGATATCTTCCTTATTGTAATGGCAAACCTGATCTTCCCATTATTATTATTAACAACAGAAATCTGGTTTACCAATCCCCAACCATTGTTGTCCTGACTAAAGAATCACATACTTGATTTCCTCAGCAGTATGCTTGTTGCTGAGTACATCAGGTTTGTCAACAAGTAATGTTACTGAAATATTTTCATGAATAATTAGATTAAAATTAGACACGCCTACAGATGTTTCTTTTCTTATATCTCCTGTTCAGGCTTCCATTGCATTGTCATTATTAAGAAGCTTGAATACTGTGCAGCATAAACTATAAAACAAAGCTAACAAGCAAGCGCAACAGCTGAAGGAAGCAACAATGGAAAATAAACATTAGAGCAAGAAAGTGATGTCAAAACTTAAAAGATTAAATGTATCTGTTGAAAAAAAAATCCAAGGAACAAAAGGCACCTTGAGATAAAGATGGATCTGCAAAAGTATTTCCTTGATTTAATATCAGTGATCGAGGTTTGATAATGTCCCGTCACTCTTTTTCAACAATGAAAACAATTAAATTCTAAAATAATTGAACATTGCAGCTGACTGTGCTCTTTACTTACCCCCTGATCTGTGGCCCTGTTGCTGTCTGGCAAGATTTTATTTGTAAATGAAGATGCTGCCAAGGTTGTCTTCCAAAAGTCAGAAATTTAATGAAGCATCAATTAAATTACAAAATAGAGGACATCTCATTATATTGCATTGTTAAGTATGGTAGTTTGATACAGACTTTGGTTTCTTTGGTTCACCTGAACCTTTTCAGAATAGTTTCTATTTCTGCCCAGATCTGCACTGACCCCTTTAACCTCACTATAATTCACACTCACAATTCTTGGCTAGTTTCCAGGATTCCCTGTCAAGGCAGAAAGGAAAACCAAATCTTTCAAGTCTATGGCAGACACTTTCTCAGCACTTCCGAACAAAAGACAAGCAACTGACTTGTGCTGAATTAGTAGACATCATCCTCAAAGATTACATTCATCCATTTTATTAAAAGGGTATACGAGCTTTCGAATTATTGTTTCTCCACATTTATCATTCACTTTACAGTACATTTTGTGAAGCGCTTTGAGACGTCTGGAAGATATCATGAGTTAGAATTTTCCGTTAATTTTCCGCATCAGGTTTTAAGATTGTCACCCTGATCGTAAGAAAGAGACACAGATAGCCAGTCTTTGTGATCTAAATCTGGCCGTATGCGGGGAATGTAGAGGGATTCAGCAATGTAAAAGGTTCTCATTGAGTCCTAGTTCTAAGTAGTTCTCAATTTGAATTCATGTTCTCTTTTATCTATTGTGATAATCAGTTTAATAATAATATAATATTAATTCGAAAATGAACAGAATTGGTATTTAGCATTCACGTCTTGTTTGAAAAGTGTTGGATTTGCTCTTCATGACTAGACTATTCACATTAAATAACCTTTCAAGTAAAATAGTGCTTTTCTTTCAAATAATATAGTTTAATTCCTTTAAGTTTGTAGATTTCAATGTCGCAAGCCATTTATTTAGGTGAATTAGAGAAAAGCAAATAACAATGATATTTAACTTGTCTCATTCACAGGTTAAAGTGGAAATAGTAATAAAATGAAAAAGACCACTTCAATTCATGGTTCTGAAAGTTACAACATTCCTAATCTTAAATCTCATTCAGATGTTTGTTTTATTAACCAAGCTACAGAGATAGCATCAAATAAATGTTAATTTTCACCAAAACATCTTGCCTAATTGAAGAATTGATACAGTGCATGCTTAATGATACTGCTTTGCAAGGTCCATTGATTGTATGTCACAGTTTCATTTAGTTATATGCAGCTTCTCCCCTAGTGTCCACTGAGAAATAATAGGTTCTGCTCACTTCCAGAACATGACGTCCATTCTGTCATTCTTGAAATCACTTGACAGAGAGATTAACATAATATCATATCCCTTACTAACAGGAGAATATTACATTACTAGCTATCTCGGACACAAGGCAAAAATCAATTTTATCAAAAAGGAAGGTGTTTTTTTGCCTACAACTTTTTTTAAGTTGAAAGCACAGGATTCCAAATTTTGCACTGCTTCTGTCCTCTGTTACATTACACAAATTAGTTACTCTATACTCTTGATACTTCAATTTCAATTGATTACCACCATTTACACTGTAAGCTTCAACCACACTGCACCTGAGAATGATTCACTCAGTTCAGAAAAGAAATGAGGAAACAGAAAACAGCTCATCGCAGAACTAAGCTTGGGAGCCTATCATTTCTGTATTATTGTGGGTTGCTGTTGCTGTAGCTTTCTGCAGTATTACACATATATAACTATAGAAGAACAGTATTCTACTGAATTGACCTGTCCAAAACAGCATAAAGGGAAAATATGAAGCTATTCATAGTGGCAGAGATTAGCTGAATCATGCATTCATTTACTTGCCATTTGCTACTGTAGCTGGCCTACTGGACTATCCCACTGGGTAATCTTGCACCTGTAGCAATTGCTCCTGGTTTATCTCAGTTTATGGTTTGAAACTGCTCGGTAGAAGCAACATCACTGTCTTCTATTGCAGCTATATCATGTAGGGGATGCCTGTTTGAGGATTCAGAAAAAGTGTGTGCACAAGTCACTTACTGCCTATTCAGACTGCAGGCACTCAATTACCTGTGTCTTTAATGCTGGGCCTTAGCAAGTCCCTTCATCTCACTGGAGAACAGCACTAAATCAAAAAGTGAGGAAGTTTCATCTAGTCAGCATAGGGACTGCCATGGATTTAGGCCACAGCTGCCTTTGCTTTCTTCGTCCTCTTTATTTACAGTCGAATGGAAACAAAATTCAACCTGGCTGGAAAAGATTATCCAAGAAAATATCCAAATTAAATGTGTTTTGATTTCAAGCTGTGGAGGGGGAAAAAAAACTGTTACAACCAGTAGTTTAATGCCCTTGATACCAGAAAGAAAATTAGTATTTTTTTTAAAAAATCATAAGTTTGAAAACTCAGAACGAAGTATTTCAGGAACCACTGTTCACTGTCATGCAATATTTATCCGTTCTGTGCTAGGCTGGTGAGTGAGCGACTGAAATTATCACAGTACATCAATTCTGTGGTTGCTAAGGTTCTGTACTTCTGAGAAGAAATGATAGGTTACATGAATAGGTAGTATTTCTACCTTATTATGTTGCTTTGTCAATCAATATTTTCAACTCTTTATCCAGAAAAAGGCAGCTGATAAATCTTTTACATACAAAAATGAAACTAAATGGCTTTTCATTTGAATCTATGCTCTGGCTTTTCTACAGTTTTCTATAGAAAGCTGAAACAGGAAACATTTTATAGACAATTTGGAACCTGTTGTACACACATTATGCCATCAGAACTGCACAGATGCATAATTTGCCAGAGAATGTCAGCACTTTTTTTACATTTAAATGTTTTAATATTTAATATTAAATGTTTTCTGCATTTGTTGCAAACGCCAAGAATTGAGATCTGAAAGAATAAACTTTGAAATGAATGTCAATGTCAATAGGGTGTCGTTGGATGATTTTGAATGACACTATCAGTAATTAGTTTACTGTTGTAGATTGCATGTTAATGAATTAGGCAAGTGCAAGATGGATGAATTTGATGGGCTTTGGCTCTAATTGAACGGAGCGCAGTGTCAAAAAAAGTCTCATAGTTGCACTAAGTACACAGTGTGCTGAACACTCAAGGCTACGTCCCAATGAAGGTCAATAACAGAATTGAGATGCTTTGTTGAACAATGACTTTCACCTTTTCCTGCTTGTGCTTCTGACAGTGAAACACAAGGCAAATTGACAGTCTGATGCTTCTTGCAATTAAACTTACACAGAGAGATTGCCTTGAGTTTGAATGCAATAAGGCTGTGTTTATATTCTCACCCTCAAACTGTTTCACCTCTCTGAATAGCATCAAATTGCCAGGACAACAAAGATATCCTGCATATATTATTTTCTTCTTTGTGATCAAATTCAAATAAGATTTTTTGGTAAGATTATAAGGAAAGGTCATTTTAAATTGCCATAAAGAACTTGGAATTCTGACTCAAAGTTAAATGGCTATACTGTATAAACTGGGAATTTTAAAGAAAGCTGATATACATTTGGAACAAATTGTGATTTTGCAGATGAATGGCAAGTGCATGCCTGGAGTGTCCACCTTGGGAAGGAATCAGGTTGGCAACCTGACCAGTGTCAGAATCAATAGGGACGCTTAAATCTAGGCTACTGAGGCCTGGCTGAGCCAATAGATGGGATGAATTTGTTTCTGTAGGAGAAAGAAACAAAATTAACATGGAGAACCCAGTCCTCCCACAAGCATGCCACTTGTTGGTTACTAAATACTGTCTATACCTCAACATCTGGAGAAGTTTGCAGTTTGCTTGCATTATTGCAAGGAGCATGTGGAAAAACATTGGAGAAAATATAACCGTTGACTAAACGTAAACCACAAGCAATGCATCACTTCTAAATGAAAACTATTTGTGACATTGACAAACCTTCTCTCCTTTGTTTATCAGCTCCTGATGTTAGAATACACTCAGGTGAAAAAGCAACTTTGCACACTGTGTTGCAGAAATGAAAATAATGATTAGCTTGTTTGTCTCCCAATGATACACTGTAGTGCAGCAATTTCACTCAGGAAATAATTTAAGCGTCTTTTGATGGAGGGCAGGCAATTAAAATAACATTGCAACTACTTCGGAAAAATAATAGCATAAATATTAAGTCGGTACATAAAACCTTTCTTAATCCAGTTATTGCTT